AGAGTTGCTTCTCGCTTGGCAGCTGGACGCAGCTGGTGCAGCAGTTCCATGTCCTAGTACTCGGACTTAGCATCCTCGGGAACCCTTATAGCACCATCGGGGACTTCTCGCGCGGCATGAAGCAGTACTATGAGCCTTATCTGGTGAGTGCTAGAGCAGCTTCTCGCTTGGCAGCTGGTGCAGCAGTGCCATGTCCTAGTATTAGGCCTCAGTATCCTCAGGAACCCTTACAGCACTATCGGGGACTTCTCGCGCGGCATGAAGCAGTACTATGAGCCTTATCTGGTGAGTGCGAGAGCTGCNAAGGTTATGGAGAGAACCAACAAATCAGACTAATGTCTGTTACTTCTGCCTCACTGAAACTACAGGTTTTAACAACAAAAACCAAGAACATACAATATCTTGATGTTGCATCAGTCACAAGACCTGTGCTACAATCTGAAGGAGTTATTACCCAGCAATTCCAGTAAGGGAAAGATGCTTGATATTAATTTAAAGCAGTAGTGAAAAGTTTCCTGGGAGACTATAAATTTATCTGAGAATTATGCAATAATTGTTTCCAAATTATTGAGGAATTGCCAAAGAATGGGTGTGAATAAGTCGTTAAAAATTCATTTTTTACATTGTCACCTGGATTTTTTTCTTGTGTCAAGTGTTGAGCATGGCGAAAGTTTTCACCAGGATTTGAAGGTTTTTGAGGAAAGATACCAAGGAATTTGGGATAAAAATATGTTAGCGGATTGCTGTTGGTCTATAATAAGGGAAACTGATACTAATAATATAAAAGAAGGAGTAATACGACTCATTTTTGGTTGTTTTTAGAAATAAATGTATAAAAATGATAAAAATTAACATAATCAATATTTACAAAATTTGACGTCCTAAATTTTTTCTAAGTTCAGTTTTTAAGTAAGGGTTAATAATGATACATATCAGTTTCATCTCTGGGTAAAAAACCTTGTAAACTAGTGTTATTAGTATTATTCCTCTTTATAATATTAGTAGGTATACATACATAACTTGCTGTTCCAAATTTTCGTCATTCGTTTTCGTTTCATCGCTAAAAATAACTTAATTTTATTTTTCATTACGTCTGAAATAGAATTTGTAGTAAAAATAGACTGTAATGAAAAATAACAATAAAATATTTTAATTACCACGTGATCGCAAAATCTACCACCAAGATTTTGCGGATACACTATAAAAGTCCAGCTACCTGTCAAAGATCAACGTACGCGTGACACATGTCAGCAGAGCACCGAGCGACGTGACCTCACTCTGGAACGCCTCGAGGCGGACTGAATTTGAACGATTCGTGCGCGGCGATTTATAGTAGTTTTCAAATACTCATAGAAAAAAAATTACAATGAATTATTTTAAATTTCAAAGTAAATATTTTAGATAAGATATTCTTCTATTGTATTAAGCTATTTTTGTGTTGAATAAAGGAAGAATATTGGTGAAAAAATCACTTTGATTTTTGGGTATTTCACGTTTTTTTAATTTGTGATTTCTTATTGTAAAATGCTTAAATCTAAAAATTTTCTCAGATAACTATTTGCCCAAGGATCTATGCTATAGGATATAAATGTTTGTTAAATCGTTTTCACAGTATTTTTATAAAAATTTCAGCTTGTAAACTGACGCTAAAGTGGAAATTTACAAAACCTGTGTGGACTTATCTTGATATAATTCTTGAATACTAAACTAATCGCAATATTTTCTCAATTAACTATTTAGACGACGAAATTGCCTAACTATTTATGCCTATAACATATTTGTAGTATTACTGGTTAATGATTGTAACGAGTTGAAAAAGTACTGTTTTTGCGTCAAACGGCGTAAACGCTCTTAAGTGACACACTAACCTATTTTTAGATTCTCTGTTCCAATCACACATTTAAAGTAAAGAATAAGTTTATCATCTTTTATGTTTTCATTATGCTACTGTTAACTAATATCCGGTTTGCGCTCACGCATTATTTGGACAACATTTAGAGCAGTTAACGACAGTTATGGCGCTCGCAGTTACTCTGTTGTGAAATGTTTGTGGGCCGTTATTTTTTAGTGTCAATTGAATTATGTCATAGACTCACACTTTCCGTCGGAAATACAAATGGTATTTAGGCTTGGAAGCTAAAGTGGGGCAAAAAATAAAAGCAAATAAAGATGCAACAAGTTAAAGTAATAAATTATTTTATATAACATTAATAATAACTCAAAGAGCTCTCTATTTACAGTGAATATTTTTATCTTAATCTTAACTTATTTACATTAATATTCGTTTGAGCATTGATTCGGTTTTTTTTCGTATTTAAATCCTATTCTTTATCGTAAAAAAATTGTAGTAAAATGTTTACAAGTATAATGTGTTATCTTACACATATCGTAATCTCGTACCCCCCCTTATCACAGAAAAGTTAAACCCGGGACGAAAACTGGTTAAAAATGACATTTCCATACTAAATGTCAATTTAAACCAGAGTTCAACCACCAGAGTGTAACTTTTTGTAGTAAGGGGGTTTTTTACTTCTTGGGGTTCGGACAAACCAACGCGATCACACCGCGATCAGCCGGCGTGCAGCGATGGCGACCAGACCTAAATGCATTGATCGCCATCGCTGCACGCCGGTTGATCGCGTTGGTTTGGCCGAACCTTTGGTCAAATCATTCCAGAAAAATGACATTATTTAAACTAAGAATATCCATAAGCCGGCTTTGGTCGTCCCGGCGTTTCAACTGACAAACTCCCATCGTCATGCAGCGTATACGCCGCTCCCTTAGACCGGTGCGTCCAGATCTTGATTGCTTTGAGATGGGCATCGCTTTGTTCCTTCGCGGCTGACACCGGCGGCGCTGGCTCTATTGGTGGAGTCTTGATGTTTGATGATGGCCCGTAGGATGCGGGTGCCGGTGGTGGTGGTGCGTTGTTAGGGGAGGATACCACCTATAAAAGAAGATGACGATTTAAAAATAATGCTGGTGATTAAAAACAGTTATTCTTTCTATAATAATTGGGTACAAATATTAATCAATTGGTTAAAAACTAGGTGTTATAATATAAATAATAGAAAGTTGATGTGATCTTCGAGAAACAAGCCCACAAAAAAACCAGTCTTTGACGGCAACTATCATTTAGAATTTAGAATTCTCTGCCAAAAATGGGGCTACAAATATGACAGGTTAAATTATTTAGGCGAACTTCGTAACTTTAAATTCAATGATATCATTTTATTTTGTAAATCGAATGTTCATCACGGGATGTCTTAATACTTACACTGTAATGTGGTACGTGATACGAGCTAACTGTGTCCCGTTTAGAGCTATAGTCCATAAGAGGAAGGTTCCCGAAGTTCTCTAGCTTGTACGAACTCTGCTTCACAACTTCCACATTGTCCGTGTTGGACGTCTCATAGTGATCCTCTCTCAAGTTCACTGGCTTCGGCAACTGCTCTTCCTGTGTCGCCTGACTGTCAGTGAACGAAGCAACGACCTTGTCTGAAGCAGCCCCATTCAACTCCTTCTGAATGTACGCGTCTAACATCGTAAATTGACCGCTGTGCTTAGATTCTTGCGTGTCTAACGGGGTGTTAGCCAGCTCCTGAGAATTTATTTCAGGTGATGGATGAAATTGCGGTGGGGTGTTTCGGAAGTTTGCATTGTTAACATTTGCATAAAGACCGTTGATTGCGAACTGATTGGCGTTGTTTACGTATTTGTCAGTGTCTGCAGGTCGTTTACTGATTGATTTGTACTCCATTTCATAGCCTGTGTGTTCATTATTGCCAATGTAGAGACCATTGAGTGCGAACTGGTGATCTTGATCCGTTTCTTGAGCTGCTACCTTGTATATTCTCACATCGTCATTTTCTTTGACTTTGTTCAATGAAGTGCTATATTTTTCAATGGGATTTCCATATTTCTCTCCAGCGAACTCGATGATTCTATCCAAATCCTGCTTAGATAGATGTTTAACGAGATTGTTAATGTCGTCGTCTCCTAACCCGTCGTTAACCGGTCGTTTACTGGTACTAACCTTGGGCCTAAAGCTGCCTGGGTGCGGGTCGTCGCTCTCCATGTAATTTGGCGGCGGCGTGTATGAGAACGCTCCTTTAGTCAGGAACGGCGGAGGTGGTTTTCTGTAGAACCTACTCGGGCTCGAGTAGTACTTCGCTCTCTTAACCCTCAGATACTCCGGCATTTGTCGCGAGCGTCCATACTCGTCACTGTTCACAACTGCACATAGCACCACGACAAGTATTAAGACTTTCATGCCCATATTCGTTTGTCTGAAAACTGAGAGGAAGTGAAATTGTCGCGGAGTCTTATAATAGTTGGGTCGAAAGCGGTGTTAATTGTGTTAGAGCGTTCGCCAGCTCGGGTAGGGGCAGTTCTGTTTATGGCCGTGACGTAAGCGTGTTGAGGAGATATGGTTGCGGTAATATGCGCGTGCTAAGTACAGGTGTGTGACCTAAGTGCGGGTGTGGGAGGGGCGTAATTTGCAATGTTATGTATGAATGACATCGCAAATTATGTAAACGAGATAATTTTTCCTTGGATCCCGTAAAATTAAATTCAAGTTGTAATTGTAATCTTTATGATGCTATTGAAATTTTGTGTGGGTGGATGTTGATGTAGGTACATAAAATAGGGTCATGATTTAATAACAGTCAGTAATACAGAATTAAATACTTTTCTTTTATGAATATCTACACTTTCTAAAAACTTTTTGTTTGATTTAAATTCCCATGTGATGATTGAATTGACGGCGATCGAATGACAGCCCAAAAGTGATTTAAAATCCCCTGTTAGCTTTAATCTAAGACTAATTTGTAATTTTATTTTTATTGTATTTTAGTACCCATAGTACAAGCTTCGCTTAGTTTGGGACTAGAGGCGCAGTGTAAAATGTCCAAGGACATTTATTTATTTAATAGTTTTTGACTTTGAATTCTCCTCTCCAGTCGGCCATCTGTGTGGACGTGACTGGCGGCACGGACCGTCCCTTCACGATCACGTTCAAGCCGTACACCAGCGGCGACGCGCCCGTGCGCATCGACAACCTGTGCGACGACCTGTTCCTCAAGCTACACCAGGCCGACTCCGGCCAGGTGGCGCTGCTGAGCCCCTACCAGTCGCTGCTGTACACCTGGGACGACCCCGCCAAGGAGCGCATGCTGTACTGGAACATATACAACAACAAGGGCAAGGGCTTCGTGGCGGACTTCGGCCAGGACGGGTGAGAAGCGCGTTGGCAACACTTCTGTTCTTTTGTTTCAGCCGATACGTCCACTGCTGGACAAAGGCCTCCCCCAAGGTTTTCCACAAAGACCGGTCCTGCGCCGCCCCAATCCAGGCACCTCCTGCGACCATCACCAGGTCGTTGGTCCACCTAGTGGGAGCGCGTCAAATGCTACACTACAAAAAGTCGCAGTGAGCGAGTGGCCTAATATCCTGCTTTTGTGCATAGATTGTGTTTTATTATTATTACTAAACTCGCTTGCATATTTTCCGCAGATATGGCGAAGAAAAAGTCAGCTTCCAGTCGGTGAAACACTCCACCCTTGTTGCGACCAGCAGCGTGACTTCCAAACTGTCGTCTACCCTCAAGCGCCTGACGCCTAAGTCTCCCGAACCCTGCTCCTCCAGCAGCGATGATTCCGACAGCTCAGACCTCCCAGAAAACCACACCAAGACCAAGAAGATGAGGAAAGACAAGGTCATCGTATACTGGATCTCGTACATGGAAGGCTACCAAAGAGTCTTCGCGCTGGCCCAAGACGAAAGAATCGCCTACCAGTACCGAATGAGGATCAACTCTGAAAGGAGTAACTACGAAGTATATCTATCCTTATCAGGCGTGAGTCTATCAGTTTGCGTCCAAAATAACAACGCAGTCAAAGAACTCGCATACGTCAGTATTACTGACTCCTTGCCCAAATGGGAGGTCAACGTGAGTCGCAAGTGGAAGCAATTGTCCCCAGACCTGACCGCCTGGATCGAAGAGAAATACCAGACTGAACAAAAGAAGTGCCAATTAAAAGAATACATCGATATAGACTTAGAAAAGATGCAAATGACGAAGCCGTTCTTCTCAGAACTGCGGCGGACTTACAACCCTGGTGTTTGGTTGCAATTCCGCAAATCTGACACGTACAGTTATTTCCACATGAAGGTACAAAGACTGCAGATAGATAACCAGCTGAATGAAGCGGTGTTTCCTAGCGTTTTGTACCCAGCACCCTTACCACCAGAAGCGAGGTCAAACCGTGGCTTAAAGCCATGTATGGAGATCGTAGCTTTGAAGCAGCACAGGCCTACTTTGAACCAAGACGTGTACAAATACCTCAAGATTCTAGTCAGGGAGTACTGTGTGAATTTGGATAGAGGTTTTGTTAACCACGTGTTTGATATACTCAACCATTGGAAGATAGAAGAGAAGCCAGCGGTTAGGCTGCGAGCTGACTTGGCTTTGGTTCATATGCCGTTGCCAATTATTGCTATTAAAAGCCAAACGAGCGCGCAAAGGAATGTGTTGTTTGAGTTCGTGCACCTCTCTCCTATCAAGATAGTGTTAAGTTTGTCCTCGAGAGGCTACTTGACGGAGAGCGCTAGTAGTCCGAGCAAGACAAGGTTCGGGACCAAGAAAGAGAACAGGCCTAAACTGTTTAATAGTGATCTGTTGGAATATCTCTTCAATTCGTGGGGCTCATCGCTTTGCGACATGAAGGATGTAGTCTTAAGGTACGTTTTATAAGTAACACTGTTCTATTATTTTTCTAGTCATTTGTTTTACTATTGTGAGTCCATCTGAATCCTGTTTAGCAAAAGCCTTATATTCCAGTAGTGTTTGTTGATGATCAAATTAAATTCGCTGCGAGTTACAAGTTATTCAGTATCGATGATGACTGATTGGGTGATGGTCAGCCAAACCGTGGATCCTAGTTGTGCAGGAGTTGTTGTGATGACAACTTCTTCTTAGTCGGATACTCTTGTCAGAGTGGTCGTGGTGAGAAAAAGAGTTGGCATTAATCTCCTTGTTTTCCACTATTCCAGGATGTCCTACCTAGAACTCCGCAACGCGCCACTCACTGTAGCAGGGCTGGCAGACGCAGCATCACGCCACTATTGGACGCAGCTGGTGCAGCAGTTCCACGTGCTAGTACTAGGCCTGAGCATCCTCGGGAACCCTTATAGCACCATCGGGGACTTCTCGCGCGGCATGAAGCAGTACTATGAGCCTTATCTGGTGAGTGTTAGAGCAGCTTCTCGCTTGGCAGCTGGACGCAGCTGGTGCAGCAGTTCCATGTCCTAGTACTAGGCCTCAGTATCCTCGGGAACCCTTATAGCACTATCGGGGACTTCTCGCGCGGCATGAAGCAGTACTATGAGCCTTATCTGGTGAGTGCTAGAGTTGCTTCTCGCTTGGCAGCTGGACGCAGCTGGTGCAGCAGTTCCATGTCCTAGTACTCGGACTTAGCATCCTCGGGAACCCTTACAGTGCTATCGGTGACTTCTCGCGCGGCATGAAGCAGTACTATGAGCCTTATCTGGTGAGTGCTAGAGTTGCTTGTCGCTTGGCAGCTGGACGCAGCTGGTGCAGCAATTCCATCTCCTCTTACTAGGCCTCAGTATCCTCGGGAACCCTTATAGCACCATCGGGGACTTCTCGCGCGGCATGAAGCAGTACTATGAGCCTTATCTGGTGAGTGCTAGAGCAGCTTCTCGCTTGGTAGCCGTGTTGGACGGAGCTGCTGCAGCAGTTTAATGCTCTTGGGTTGGGAATCTTACTCGGAAACCTTTACAGCACTGTTCTATTTCCATTTCTAGACCTGTATAGAGAATTCATTGTTACGTACGACAGACTATAAAAATTACATTATGTCTATTGAATGGCGGTATCCAATACCTATTGGTGTGAGTATTTCGAGTCTACACCAATAAATTACTTAAATATGTGTTGTCAATATGCGAATCTTTCATAGATTTATGTGTACACCATTTTATTTGGTAATTCGATTATTTACCATCCCTATTTACAAAGACAAATGGATTTACTGATTTAAAAGCAACTGAAGGATGTGTACTTTTAGAGATGTTGAACCATACAATTAATTGTTCATGCTGTTAACTTATTGCTTCCCTATTACCGTTTTTCTCCATGTTCTCCCCCAGGGCTCAGTGTTCGGGGTTGTTCGCTGGAGGCATCGCAGCGCATGATCGGCGGCGGAGGTTATGCTCAGTAGTGGACGTCCTTTGGCTAAAGCGATGGTGATGATGATGAATGTCAACAACCCCATTACCGTTTTCCTTGATGTTCTCCCTCAGGGCTCAGTGTTCGGTCGTCGCTCGCTGGAGGCGTCGCAGCGCATGAGCGGCGGCGGAGGCTTAGGCTCAGTAGTGGACGTCCTTTGGCTAAAGCGATAGTGATGATGATGAATGTCAACAACCCTATCACCATCTTTCTCATACCACCCCCAGGGCTCAGTATTCGGTCGTCGCTCGCTGGAGGCGTCGCAGCGCGTGAACGTGGCGGAGGCTTATGCTCAGTAGTGGACGTCCTTTGGTTGAAATGATACTGATGATGATGAATGTCATGTAGTTTCGGTTATGGATACAGTTACGGATATACGAATAATATTATACCGGTTTCGGTTACAGTTACGGATATTTTATTATTTTGGAATTATTTATTTATTTATTTATTTATTTATTTATATTAGGAAGACCAGGGTTTACATAATTGATTATTTTACAGTTAATAACAATTGATAACCACTTATAGGTCCCCACATCCGAAAGTTTCGGTTACGGTTACGGATATCTATAACATCCCTGGTTTTGATCTACACTCGGCATCAAATAAATCGCACCTCCCGCGACAAGCACTTATCAAACGTATGCATCCCCACTTCCCACCAACATTGGTACCATTTGAAAGCCTAGTTTTAAACTTCATTTCATTAAAGGAAAGGTTTTTACCCCAAAAATGTGTCTTTACAAGGATCCAGACTCACTTCTTCAAAAAATAGGTAGTTACTCTATAGCCATTTTTATGACTATAAAACTGTTAAGTTGGGATTAATCGCTATCCATCTGTTTAAGAGGACACGTGAGATCTTTATTTGGTTTTATAACCATAAAAATTGGTCTAATTGATCCCAGAGGTGAGCCCAAAGTGAGGTCTATTTTCAAGTCACATTTATGGTATATGTTAATAATTTATTTAGAAATGAAATGTATTTTTCTTTAAGGATATTTATTGGGCTTTCAAATAACACCAATATAGTTGGGGTACCATGATTGTGTCAGAAAAAAATCTTTAAAGTTCGCGTCGCGGAAGGTGCGGTTTATTTGATGTTGAGTGTATGTTCTCCCCCAGGGCTCAGTGTTCGGTCGTCGCTCGCTGGAGGCGTCGCAGCGCGTGAGTGGCGGCGCGCGCGCTTTGCTGGGCCATTGCGCGGGCGCCGACGCTGCCGATGACATCTTCCGCGACGTGCCCAAGGCCAAGCCGGCTCGGAGGAAGCCAGGTCAGTGCACTTTGGGATCGGGGTATATGAATAATAGGATGGCTTATATGAATAAAAAGTCCAATGCCCGTTTTCACCATTTTTAAGTGACCCCTATGGTAACACATGACAGAAATTTTGGTTTTCATTGGGGTCACTTAAAAATTAGGGATTGATGGTGAAAACGGGCATAAAATAATAATATTATCTTCTAAAATTATGATATATATGTAGACGGGAGAGCATCTATGTTAGACAAACTTTATGCATTACAACAAATTAACGATCCTATTCAAGATATTTTTGTGATGTGATTTCATCTATCCATCACATCAAATCCATACAAATGATTTCTGTGTTACCTTACAGGTTTCTATTGCAGGATGCTAATTTCGTGTTATTTTTTTCTTATTTTCTTTATGTGTTCCACCCACGCACGTAATTTTTCTTCGCATCTTTATGTCTTCTTTTTTGTGTCTTCTTCGTTTATTTTCAGTTGTCTTTTTTGTTTCCAAATAGTTGTCTTTGTTGTTTTGATTTTCGTTTTTTTTTCGTTTTCTTCATCGTTCACAGAGGTGGGTTTTGGGTTTTATTTGTCTTCTGAGTTTCATTAATTCGACTAGTAGCTTTTGTGTGAGTGGGTTACAGACTCCATCCTCAGTATCTTAAATACTTATTCGATAAATTTGACCAGTTGTTTTTAATGAAAGAGGGTCAAACAGGCATGTTAGAAACTTTAGTGCATTGGTTCCCAAAATGGGGGGCGCGCCCCCCAGGGGAGGTGCGAAAACCTTTAAAGGGGCGTGGGCCATCTGTGTAGGTACTTAAGTATAAAAAACCTGCGACCGCTGGGAGAATGCATTCAAGACTGCTCGATACGACCAATAAATAATCTTGAATGGAGGAGGGGGGGGGGGGCGCGTCTCAAATAAGTTTGGGAACCAATGCTTTAGTGTTTATATTACGAGTTTGACAATGGTCGTCTAAAGGTGACGAGGAGTCAGCCAGCAACGATCTACCAGCGGCTGTGTTGGAGGCGGCGCGTGCGCACCCGGCCAGTGTGGCGCTTGCGCTGGCCGGACTCATCGCGCGGCCCACTGTCGGTAAGTCTCGTGGACTACCGAAGATATTAGGGATACATTGATGTGGGATAAAGTTGGAAAGGAAAACATCGACATTAGAGTTAAAACCACTTTTTTCTAAGAATTTGTATTTTCAAATAATACTACCCTCGTGGTATGCTAAATATGCTCATCTAAAGCACGGTCTGTGAGCACGTAGAATTTTGTCCAATGACCCCAAGCTACCCATCCTTATCGCTCGCGCGTAATTATATTGCTGTCGCGACTGTGCGACGGGCGCCCGCAGTGAGTGTGAGAGCACGACAGCAACATAATTACGTGCGAGCGATAAGGATGGGTAGCTTGGGGTCATTGGACAAAATTCTACGTGCTCACAGACCAGACTATAGAAGAGGGAATCGAACCCGCATTTCTCGGATCCGATTCGACACCGACATCATTGGGCTATTGTCGCTTCAAAACTATTATTTTTAGTGTTTTTATTATAGACATGTTGCAAACATACTTTAGAAGTTACATGAGTGTTAGTCAGATCTGTATTTTTATTGAATTCATAAATGTTTCTGTGATAAAAACTTCTACTACTATTATTGATATTATAAAAGACTAGTATTGACGTTATAATATCGATGTTTTCCCACTTTGTTGTGACAAACTCGTCGTGAATATTAATCCACACCCTTGCTATGATCGCTGACGTATGATATTGTCCTAGAAACTGAAAAGCCGGTCTAAAGTTAAATACTCGTTTTGATAGATGAAACCTAAATGTACTTTACTTGCTTTAGAAAATTAACTACATATTTATTTAGTAATATTTTTCTCATATTTTATTACGATCACGAATTATATTTGCAAATACGTTAGCGATCGTAGTAAACAATTTCGTAGAATTTATGGACCAAGTTGCAAACTTACTTTTGTACCTATTGATGTTCAGATGCATGGTTGCATGTTTAGAAGAGTAAATGATAAAATCATTTTTATATTAAATGTAGAAATCTTTAAAATGTTTACTTACTCATTTTATTATTTGGTGCAGCCTTCTATTTTAATGTCCATATGTCATTAACTGTTGATAAAGTCTGAATTTACAGCTTTGGAATGGTCTGTCTGAAAGTAATTAGGTCACATTAATTTGAAATTAACGTCTAATTGGGTGCTAGGTAGACAATATGTGATTCTGTCTTTTTCTTGATCTTTTAGCTACTTATGTCTCTAAATAAGATGTGTATGATGTGAAATTGTGTCGAATCGAAATAGTTATCGATTGATGCATGGCTACACATACTCATATTTTATTTATTTATTTGGTGTGTTAACAAAATCTTATTAAAAGATAAGAGCACTCAATGATACGTTTATTTCATGTCTCATTCTGTCACGTGGTGTATTCGTCCATTAATATTTTCGTTTTCTTTTCTGTCTGCGTGGATAGACGACGACTATCTTGTTGTTCGACGTAAGTATCTTAGAGCATGTTTGTTTTATTACTACTAAGTTACTATAATATTTATTCAATGCTACAGGTGTAATTATTACAAGTTCCAAGTTTACCGCATGGCATGTTAGAGTTATTCAATCAAACCGATTAATTTATTTTAATATATTGAGGTAATTAATGACCCCAAAATTAACGAGACTAATTTCTTAATTTGTTGTTAATCTGTTTCATACTTCAAGGGCACATAAATCACGGGAACTAACGATAATAGCACCTCGGTGACGAACGCACGTAAACGTTAATTATGACGAGCAGAACAATGTCAAGTGCTCAATATAAATGAGGTGAAGTTTAAATACTAATGAGGTATCGTTAATATATAATGTACCTAATAGTTTGTCTCGCGATTATTTCAAACGTGTTCCGTAAAAATGCGTACGAGTGTTGTGTTTGTCGTTGCGCTGTTCGCAGCGACTGACGCACGAACGCGAACGAAACCTACAAACCGGGGAATACTTGACGTAATATACGAAAGCGTCACAGACATCGCAAACTTCATAACCAACGTACAAGACACCGTCAACATAATTTTCAACGCACCAGAAGAAAACACTCAGTCAAATACAACTGCTCTAGAGGACGCACATCTGAACATCACTGAATTGGCTACCAAGTATGGTTATCCCATTGAAGAACACAATGTCCTGTCTGGTGATGGCTACATCATTAACGTTCATAGAATACCACGAGGCAAGAATAATGTCACCAATAATTTAGTAGCCTTCCTGATGCACGGGTTCGTCGAAAGCTCCGACAGCTGGGTTCTGCAGGGTCCGGACAAGGCTCTAGCTTACATACTGGCTGATCAGGGCTTCGATGTGTGGATGGGGAACGCTAGAGGGAATAAATACGCCAACAGACACATCTCAATGGACCCCAACCAGACGGAATTTTGGGAATTCACGTGGGAAGAAATTGGTGTTTTTGATCTGCCAGCAATGATTGATTTCGCTCTTAATGTCACTGGACAAGAAAGTTTGTACTACGTAGGGTACTCTCAAGGGTCGACGAGTTTCTACGCGATGAGCGCTTTGAAGCCAGAGTATATTAAAAAGGTTAAGCTGATGTTTTCGATGGCGCCTGTGGCTTGGATGGCACACGTGAAGAGTCCGCTCGTGAAGATGTTCTCACCAGCGTCAACTGTCTTGGGGAATATTCTCCTAAACAGTAACATTCCTAATACAGACTTTCTCAGCTCCATGTTAGATTCCTTTTGCAATTACATAAGCGCGTCATGTAACAACGTCCTGAACATAATCATCGGCAATGACAGCAAGTATTTGGCTGGCATAATGCCGGCGATAATAGGTCACATGCCGACCACTTCGTCGACGCTTCAGCTGGTTCACTTCGGGCAGCTCGTGAAGTCTGGAAGGTTCTGTCGGTTCGACTATGGAGAGGCCAAGAACATCCAATTGTACGGTACTGAAACCCCTCCTGATTATGATCTCAGTGAAATGACTGTTCCTGTAGTTATATTCTTCGGTGAAAACGATTGGTTGGCGGTGCCTGATGATGTCGCAACACTGCAGAAACATTTGCCGAATGTTGTTGAGTCGAATTACATAAGGGATTTTAACCATATGGATTTCATGTTCGCTGCTGTGGCTAAGGATTTTCTGTACTCAAAGATCACTAAGTATATTTTCGAGTTTGAAAATCGGCTGTGAAGATTTGATTGCGACTTAAAATAAACGATTACTGTAAATACGGCATGGTTTTAATAAATGAATAAGTATTTATTGTGTTTGTTTTGTATTAATAAAATATGAAATAAAATTGAATCTTCTTATTTACAAAAAACCGTAATCATAAACATCGTACCAATTAACCATCGTGGCCTGGTAATTTTATATTTAAAAAAAACAATGGCTTACTTCTCTAAAATCTATCGTTTATGAATAATTACCGGATTCACTTTCTTCCTATATTCGCGTGTTCCCGCTTTCCCGCACAATTTTTCCTCATTATCATCATATCGCAACTTTTTTCCCGATATATGCCATAATATTGTAATGTAAATGAGTACTAGCAGCCAATCAAATAAAAAAGATAAAATAACACATGCACTTACAGACTTATGCCGCGAAGCAGCGCGCGCTTCGCTATCGCGGCAGCTGGGAGCTAACAGCGCGGAGAACGCTCTGAAGGCGTGCGTGGAACGCAGCGGCGGCCGTCTCGTGGCGCGCCAGCGGCTGCCGCGACACTGCCCTGCCGATGTGAGTACCAAGGCCAACAGATCCTCCTCTTCTTCTTCTTCTTTTTTGATGATGTTGGCAATACACGTCGACGTCGACTTGATTTTTGCCATTTTCAAGTTTATAAATGATACGAGTTATAAAATGAGATCAAGTAATGATATAATGAAGGATGATAGATGATACCCCTTCCCACCCTTTGAGTCTCAGTAAAGTTGTGGTGCTTTACTGAGACCTCCTATGGACAACTTGACAGAACCAGAAGAATCACGATGCACTGTTTTGCTTCACTCGCCCACACTCATGCACGTTCACGAACACTCAATGGTTAATAACCCACCATTATTACACATTAATAGTCGCCCAAACACGAATTTGAGGAAATAAAACAAGACCGCTAACATGACGCTTCAGATTCCCGCCAAGAAGTCCCAGATCCTCCTCTTCAATAAATACAATAGGGACAAGGACGTAGATAAAATAACTTGTAGAGAGTCAAGAAGTGTGGCGCGGTGGAGTGCAATCTGCCCTAGGCAGCCGCAACTCCGCGCACAACTGCGATTCGGCTAGTATAACCAGGCCTGTTCATCTCCGCGAGTTTACATCGAAAACAAAACACGCACGATGGCCCACCTACAGGATACTATTCGACAAGGCCTCACATACGAGCGAACATTGACTCACGCACGCGTATTCTTGTGTATGATGGAAGAAAATAAAGAAAATGGTGTACTAAATACTGTGCAGTATTTTACTGCCTAAATAATAATAATAAAAACACAGAAAGTACTTTTTTAAGTTGCCTCAAGACACTGAGAGGTAAATAAGTAGTTAATATTATTCATGATAATTCATGCTAAATCATGTATTTCCTCCGCCATTTTCCGCAGTTTGGCACCTCACGTCACATCATATTCTGTGGTATAACCGCGAGGTTTGTATGGCCATGGGTGGTGGTGGGTTGTAGATCCTCCTCTTCAGTAAAATCCTGCTAAATCACACTCTCGCACGCGAATCAGATCCACACGCGTGCTGAAATCAGCATCACAGGAAAAAGGCACTTTTTATTTTCATGACAAGGCAGGTACTTGACCAAATTGCACCTGGTGTTAAGTGATGACTGAGATGCAGTCTAGGGATGGTAACTATCTACCCTATAAGTGTCTATTCACTCTCGTCTTGATAAGGCCCGGATTAGAGTTCAGGAAATACAGCAGCAGGCAGTCCCATTCCAGTCCCTAGTTGTTCGCTTACGATGTATTATTTCAGAATTTGAATCTTATTAGGGGGGTTGGCGTCATGAGTCGACTCCAGTGTTGTATTCCTAATTTATTTTTTTTATTTTTGTGTGTATTTTCTCAACATAGCAAAATTGGTGCGGTGAGATGGTGGCGCCTTCTTGTCAATGTCAATGTCTTGTTTAATGTTTTGTTTTTTGTATTTAAAATGTTGGTTGGAGAGGCACCCGCTGAAAACCAGCGTCGGGGCACGCGTGCATGGCTCGATTAATGCTGAGCGGGCGCCTTTTTGGCACAAAATATTATGCGTGTATAGTTTTAAGTCCCTTTGCTCTGTTTTTCTGTTTTCTTTTGTGTCAAATAAAGTTTTTCTTATTCTTATTCTTATTATGAGTCTACGCCCTACGGGCCTTTGCTCCTGCGCTCGCAACGCAACGGAGGCCCTAAATAATGCAACTATTGACGGATTGCAGGGCATCAGGCCATACTCGCAGCACGCGGCCCTAGGGCTGCAGCTGCTGAGGCAGCTGGGCCGCGGCCACTACGCCGACACCGACGCCTACATCGCGCACGCACCACTCGCGCCCGCCTCGCTCGGCACGCTGCTGGTCACCACGCAGTGAGTACCTGTAGGCAGCAAGCCGCACTCGCAGCACGCGGCCCTAGGGCTGCAGCTGCTGAGGCAGCTGGGCCGCAGTCACTCGCTCGACTATGTAAGCCCAGGGCTATCTTTAAGCCTACTGAAGAATATAGGTCCTTCTCACCCAAGCTCTTGATCCACTTGAGGGGGGGGGGGGGATAAAGGTATAGGGAAGCACAAAAGATCCTGTAGCGTCTTACAGTTACAGGATGAGTGCCGACGATTTGTATGGGATAGTTAGTGTACGAAACCAAACCCAATGATAGTCGTAATAACACTGATTTATTTCACATAACACAATTATTTATAAAATGATAGAATAGCAGAAGTACGAACGTACGTGACGTTTATGCTGCTATTTCTAAGTGACCTAGATTAGGTATGTCGTTGACATTAACATATGTGCGGTAACCCGTACAGATCCCAATGGGTCGACGTGCACTGCGCCCATGCGCGGCCCTAAATAAGATGAGATAAGATAAGCCTACTGGTGGCCTTGGGCATTCAAGGATCAAGGGGGCCACAAGAACAGATGGGAGCTTCGATCGCTAGGCCCTAGGTAAGTACTCAGGGGCGAAGAGGGACTATAACCGGGCACTAGATCGTACCACAGAATAATAATAAGTACTACGTACAGAAGTTTTACTTCGCGAAGATATTTAAAAAAATGTATGCTCAATCTCATTAACAATATGGTGTAATTTAGCCTGTCTCAAGAGTCGAGCACCATTTTGTTGACAAACGTCAGTGATCGGCACTGCGCCGAAGCTATAGGGCTGACTTCGGTAAAATGATGTGACGTGAGGTGCCAAACTGCGGAAAATGGCGGAGGAAATACATGATTTAGCATGAATTATCATGAATAATATTAACTACTTATTTACCTCTCAGTGTCTTGAGGCAACTTAAAAAAGTACATTCTGTGTTTGTATTATTATTTAGGCAGTTAAATACTGCACAGTATTTAGTACACCATTTTCTTTATTTTCTTCCATCATACACAAGAATACGCGTGCGTGAGTCAATGTTCGCTCGTATATGTATATATGATAGCACCGCGTCATCATAATGATCGGCCGGAGTAGTACTCGCGCGCAGTAAAATGTTTAACTTTATGCTCTGAATGATTGAGTCTGATGTCGAATCAGCGGTGCACAGTAAAACCAAAACTGGTTTTTGTAACACCGTCAATAGTTCTCATTAATATTTGGAAATGTGTGTAACTTGTTTTAAATAAAAATAAATAAATAAATGTGAGGCCTTGTCAAATAGTATCCTGTAGGTGGGTCATCGTGCGTGTTTTGTTTTCGATGTAAACTCGCGGAGATGAACAGGCCTGATCGTACTAGCAACATGCCACGTTGATCGTAGCGGATCGCCAGTTATCAACATAATAAGGTTGAAACTGTGAACTAAATAGGCTGACACAGGAAACTTCAGGAAAGGATACGCTGCTTCTTCTTGTACTGACCTTATTCCCGTATTTATGGTAGCGTTAACTCTTTGGTTAACGCTTTCTTCGGCCAAACTAACGCGTGCAGCTCGCGTCAGCGATGGCGATCTGACCGCCGTGATCGCCATCGCCATCGCGCACGCAGGCTGCACACCTTGGTTTTTATATTAACCGGCAGACAGTGGTGACTGAGTTTGTTGCGGCGCTTCTTCTCAGCACTTGCCAAATGTTGGTCTCGAAGCGCTGGTAGGGTAAAAAGATTATGAGACATGTAGAGGCTCCTTAAGAGCAAAATATTTGACGATTTGTAAGAACTATTTAATAGTCTATACAAATAAAGAAATGTTTACTTTGACTTTGGTTTGGCCGAATCTTACGACGTGTGAGTAAAGGCGCGTTTTAAAATCCTAATTGCAAACTCTTAACTTTTATGACTTCTTCAGGCACATATTCATGGTGCGCGCGGGCGGCGGCGGCGGCTCGTGGCACATCGAGTGGGTGGTGAAGCTGGACGACATTATCGGAGCGCCCGTAGTGAGGGGAGACCAGCTCGTGTTGAACATCAAACAGGTATGAGGCATACCCCATCTGTGGCTCTTTTCCTCATCATCATAAGAGTCCCTTCACACTAGCGTTTGTTCAGCGTAACGATGAACGTATGAGCAGTATAGACGATGCTCGCGTCGCGTTGTCGCGGTAAGTCTGCTAGAGCACATGACACGCCACTGCGTGTTGCATGAGGCGCGGTACTGTGGTAACAATAAATTCATAGACAAGGAGTATATCTACCCCCTTCTCCCATAAAATTTCAAATATTTTCTACAATGAGGCTGAAGCCTGCCAAGCGTGGGGATATAGCAAAACCCTCCACTATAGTGGAGGAGGCATATAGTCCAGCAGTGGACTGTAAAGGGCTATTGATGATGATGATGAGGCTGAAGAAGTTTGTATTAAGAATCCACATTAGCGCCAGAGCTTCGTCTAATTAAAAAGTAATCAAAATAATTATTTTTTAATTTTAGGATGAAATGGTGAACTACTTCTCCACCGATGAGAAAGTCATCGAAGTATCTGACCCCGAGGTGCTGCTCTGGCTGAAGGCCAAGGTGGAGTGTGCCCTTATCCTGGCGCTGGAGGACAAGCGCTGCCCCAACGAGTAACGAATATACCGCGAATTTGCTATAAATACACAGAACTGAGCACTCTACGTAAGATGTTTTTGTAACCGGCATCTGATGGAATCCCCGGCCCGGCTCTATTGGGTTTGTTTAGACGATTTTTTTATTTAGTTATGTATGATGACTCTGGTTAAATACTGCTTTCCTATGCAGCTTTAGTTACGGCGAAATGTTTAAATTATACCCAAAGAGGTACTAATTAGATTTTGTTAAAAAAATATCTAAGTAATATGACGTTTCATTGTACCCAAATATGCCGGGTTGTGAGAGCCTTTATTTTGATTTTGAGGGAAAAATTAAGTGACAAACACCATGACGCAACTTTTCCTTCCCTCTTTCCTTGTAATTTTGGGACATCGAATATAAATCAATAGCTCTGATCGTTCAAAGTGAGAATATTTAATATTATTTTGAGGAATTCATTATTTTAGTATCTTTTTCAATCTAACTTATGCACCGACTGGATTAAAGTTGCTAAAATAATATTTAAGAATACTTACATAATAACTAAAGACTACTGTGTCAGTATTTTTAACTGGACGACGTATTCACACGAATGTAGAAAAATTTTGTTAAATGTGAATTCAAAAATCTGTCTTTTTAATATTTGTAACAATGTTTCATTCTCAGTTATGTTCGGCATCCATCTTGTGCTAATACAAAATGGCAGGACATATCAATCAGCTGACATTGTTTTCTTGACAATAATCCGTTCCCAACGTTTTTTACTCTAAACCTTTTTTAAATTTGCTAAGAAAATCGTGTATAACTAAAACTTACACACTTTTGCAATCTGTAGACGATATCTACATAAAAATGTACGATCTCTTTATTCTAGTCTATGTATTTTATTTTAACCAAATACAGTATTAATTTTAAAACTTGTTTATTGAATTGTTATTGCTTAATGTTTTGTTGGTCGTCGCTTAGAACTTTATATGTGAGACACAAGATTGTATTAGCTATTTTCTTAGAAAAATGTTTGAAATATTGTTAATTTTAGTATTAATGTAAGATCTAAACGCACAGCAAACCATTGCTACTTTAAGCAGACATTCTTACAGCAAGAAAAATAAATAGAAATGACGTCATTGGCTAAATGAAAATTTGCCCTACATTCATTTGAACGGTAGCAGGGACATACTAAAGAGTATTTAATCCATAATATGATATCGATTTACTAAATTACGAGGTCATTTAGACGATTAACGTCATATAAGTACGTGTTGTACATTTAGATCAAAATGGCCTAAAATCCTAAATAATATCTATATCGCAAGCAATTTACATAAAGTTATTATTGATCTAAATGAATAACAAAACGATTATTGTCACATTACTCCCGCATGACCGAATCAGTGCAATTGTCTACATCGCCTCATACACCCGTAGGTAGCGTATTGAATTTGAATGTTAAAGTATTTTCGTAACGAAGCATTTATGTACGGGGCTGGCCGTATGTATTGTCAACCAATGTCCTCCACTGAGTTCGGAAAAATATATGATTTAAATTGCACTAGAATCGCCACCGTTGTAGGTAGTTCGGTATTGGCAATTTGAAGATGTCTCAGTGATAAGCTTGAGGTGCAGCCGTCTGTATCTTTGGGATTGTGGTTGACAACCCGTGCAGAAAGCCCGTTACATTTAAACTGTATTATTGGTGTCTATGCTATTAGTTATAAGTCTGTTATGTTGTCTAGTCATATAAACGTTAACTATGAGACCGATTATGTATGCTGTTTATTTGTTAAGCCAGATTATATTTGTCTGACGTGTTGTGTCATCATGACGCATCAGAACTGAATCGGTTACATAGTACATTTTGCGACGCGTCTTTTCACGTCAAAGATTTCACTTTACGACTCCAGCTAGTGTAGTGTATGAAATTGATTCCTTCTGATACGTCACGTCACAGGACTCTAGACAAATATAAATCCGGCTTTAGTCTATAATTTGATATGAGCCACGTTGAGTGAAGAGTTGACGTGCCTCCGCTATTGAGAGACTGGTCACGTTTCACTTAATTAATTTTGATTTATGTATACATAATCGGTCGCTATACAATGTTTCGCTATAGCATACACGAGGAGTATTACAAATTAAAACAGTCGTTTAAGAGCGTTGTAGCAAAAAGTTGACGTTCGAATTTTAGGTTTTTATTGCTTGACGTCGCGTAGTGAGTGCGCAAACTGCATTTATCTGTACAATTTCAACGCTGCGTCGACCAAACGATCTTAATCCGTAGTTGTATCGTACCTAAGACAGTACATCATACATAAAAATAAAGAAATAATATATAATTTACCTATTTGATTTTTTCTCAGATTAGACTTTTAGCAAAATCAAGTTACGTAATTAATGTATTTTTTACACTAGTAAATCCCGCGACAAGTTTTTAATCTTTAAAATAATTTTAATAAATTGATGGGTTTGAAAGAATTTATGTTTTATTTTATTCTTTTTACAGCATCAAAAGCTTGTTTATGAAAAATATTTACTATGTAAATTTTACTTTTGACTTTTTAGTTTTTATGATGCCGGATGGAAAAATTAAAATTTATTCTGATTTTGTGACGTTTCCGCACATAAATATGGATAGGTTAAATAAATAGAATGAAATGTATGAAAACAAGCGTGCCATTTTTTAAACGTTATCTATAATATCTGTGTCCATCAAAGAGCTCGTAACTAAACATCGTAAGCGCCATTCACATTATTATCTAAAAGTTAATAATAAATATTTAGTTATTTCTTTCATTCAGTCGTCAGTAATTGAACTTTCGGAAAAACATGACGAAGCATTGTGTGACCATACAGACGCTATTCAACTTTTATTAGTAAGGAAGAGTATATTTTATGTTGGTAGAAACACAATAGCATAGACTAATGTTTTGACACCCTGTTAAAATTTTTATTAGTCATTTATTTTTTCCTGACCAAACAGATACCATAATAATATCTTTTGTCTATTCTACACATATTCTGTAAGTAAAATAATAAAAAGTTTGAAAAGAAAGAAATTACAAGTCCGATTTACCTAAACAAATAAATTAAAAATACTTGCGGATCAAAAGTACTCAATCATACTACAATTTACGAAAAAATCACGCGTGACGCATATACGTCAGTGGGCAGTCAACTGACATAGACCCGGCGTCTACGAGTGCCAAAGCACGACTGATTTATGCCATTTGATGCACCCGATTTTATAGTATTTTCAAATTAATTTTTCATTTGAAGATTGAAGATAGATATTTTTTCTTTTTCACACAATAATAGTACTATGTTTCTTCTCAAGTATAAAGAAGTTTATGTTGCCAAATGACTTTTAGATTATGAGATGTGACCTGTTTTCTTGCAGTAATTTTCTCGAATTTTGACTATCTTAGACATGATAAAAATGCATTTTAATGAATTAAACATCTAAATTTTCTCAATACACTTTCTTCTTCAGGGTATGCTTATTCTAATGAATACATTCTATCTTCTTACTTAGAAATAAATTTGTTGTAATATTAGTTCAAAGTTGTGCCTTCGCGAGTTATCTGGAAATCGGGCTTTCAAAATTCGCTGTTTTCGTAGGCAAAAATCCAATTTGAACGAGATTTTGTCAATAGACATTCCGTAAAAACGTATGATAATTACGATGATATAATTCAAAAGAAGCTATAACAATAAATTATATGACTAAAATCATTTCGAAATCTGCCAAATTCTCGATTTCTGCATGAAAAATGTGACAACGCTCTTAATAACGAATATGGACATAAGAAGAGAGCTTAATAATATTTACACCATAAAGGCCGGCAACGCACCTGTAACGCCCCCGGAACTACGGGTGTCTATGGGCGACGGTAATTATTTACCATCAGGTGATCCGTCTGCTCGATTGCCATAAAAATCACATTTTTGTTACAGTATCGCACTTATTACGTACAAAACGTTCGATAACGTTTAACTTGTTAAACCGTCGGTGGGCTTACTACACTTGGCAGATTTTGACATCAAATCTTTGTTACTTCTCTCGTGCATGCTATAGTGTAGCCACACTTCACTTAGCTCGTCAAACTGTATAATGGTTTATCTTGCGCCAGAGTAGGCTTCTACACATAACGTTAAAAATATTAAATAAAACGTACCTAAACTAAAGAAGCGTATTGATTTGACACAAACGCTCTCAGTGAACCTTAAAGTTTTTTCTCTGGTACTAATCTCCGCAAGATAATTATAAATTCAATTCACATGATATTTAGATAGTACTCAAAGAATTCTGAAGAACCGTTTTCAATGGCGTATGATGAAAAAGAACGCTGACATCTAGCCAACTAGGCGCACACTAGGCGACAGCTCGGGACTAGACGCGACAACAAGCTTCAAAGCTTCGCACACTTGGCGTCAGTCGCGTAGTCCAAAATATATGAAATTGTCGGCCGCAGCCTGTCTTTGCGTCAAGTCGCCCGAGCTGTCGCGTGTCGCCTAGTGTGCGCCTAGCCGCCTACACTAGTGACCGATATGTGTAGAAGCCAACAAATATTAGCACTAAGCGTAATTATAAGCTTACATCGAATTGATCATGTTAATCCATGCCTATGAAACAAATGTTTTTTAAATGGAACAAATAAAACAGTATATAACTTAAATGTAGTTTTATTTGTAATCTTAAAGTGTGTAACAAATAAACATATCTTTATATTTATTTCTATGTTTAATCATTGTAATAAATATATTAATTATTAGAAAAATATGTGATGTGATTGTTAATAATAACAGTACTGTGTCAACACAAAATACTTCATAGGTGTCAATCACTTTGGGCTGTATCAGAGTTATCATCACTGGATCCATAGGCACCTAGTAAAGACAAACTGTTACTATTCTTAGAGGTATCAGCTAAAGAATTATCTTTAACATCTTCCTTTTCTTCAACAGGTACAGAATCACTATTGTCTATTACTTTCTTCTCATCTTTAATGTCTTCCTTTACATTTTTTTCTAAAACTATTTTATTATCTGATGACTCATTTTCTGTTTTTTCTTTTACATCATCTTTTTCTGTTCTAGGTTTCTTTAAAGCAATTCCTAATGAGGATCTTGTTATGGTAGCAGTTTTGCTTAAGATTATTTTAGTATCTTTAGTACCTTTACTGGAACTTGGCAACACTGGAGTTTTTAAGATTTTCTTTCTAACCTGAGACTGTTTTTCTTCTATTGTTCTTGAAGGCCTGAGAGACAGAAGGGAGGCCATGTTCCGGTCATCTTGGGACTCTGGTAGCAAGTCAATATTGAGGGAAGACTTTGCTAGCAGCAAGCTATCGTTGACTGAAGCCTCTTCAAGCTCTTTTCTTCTTTTCTGTAAAATAAAATGTAACAAGTTATTTGGAGGAAAAAATAAAAAGGCATTTTCAAAACTTTTCTTTAGTGAGTTGTTTTATATCTATTTATGCTGCTTAGATCTAACAAGACTATTTGATTTAAATTAGATATGAACAAAACATATTACATACCCTGAAACTCTTTCTCAGCATACAATTGGATTCATAATCATCTTTCCAGACGGATTCATTCCTCCCAACCAGTCGGCCAAGTCTCGGCTTGTCTTGCTTGGCCACATCTTCATCACCAGTCTTATGTTCTAAACGGAACATGGCATCATCGAACAGCTTTTTCTGTGCCTCTTTGGTTTCTGGTACTATTTGCCCATTCTCTGTTGGATCCCATCTGTTTTCTTGCCGTCTTGCTCCGGATACAATAACATAGTCTAAATTCTGAAAATGACATTGAAATATAATTTTATATGTTAGATTGTAAAAAAAACTGACTATATTCCTTGCACAAAGGCTTAGTATTGCCATTCAGCGAGGAAATGCAGCCAGCGTCCTTGCCTCTTTGCCTCACGGACACACTTTCATTTTTGAGTAAAATAAGTTTATATTTTTATTTAGTTTAGAGTTAAGTTGGCTTTAGTTTTAAAAAAAATCTATTTATTGTAAATAAAGATCAGATAAATACCTAAAAATAAATTAAACGAAAAAGATTTATCTGTTGTTTTTGTTCAAAATGAAAAAGTATTTGCAAACCACTTACTCCAGGGTCAGTTTTGATCTCAAAATGATTGTCACATAAATGGCACTTCATTCTGAACTGGTACACCGGAGTGCTGTAATACATGCCGATCTTCTTCTTCTCAGCGTTGTACCGCACGCCCATGCCGATGTGGTTCTTGCATCCCTCACACCAGATGTTGTATGGCATCTCAAAGCGTATGATCAGGATCCCCATATGGATCTTCCTGGCGCGCTCCCTGAGAGCATGGGTTCCCAAGAATTTGTTCAACCCCCCGACTTTGGGGTCGTAGTCAGGGGGATAGTACAGGTTCTGGCCTTTGCGTTCACCCATCTTGACTGTTTAGAAGTCCTGTAAATATAGTTAAAAACTAGTGGATTAAAATGAAGCACTTTGTTTTGTGGTTAAAGTTAAATCATTTAATTTGAAGCTCCTTACTTACCGGTTGCTTAAAAGCTGGAAAAATATTAATATTAAATCACTTGTTTATTATTTTGCTTATGTGCTTTGTAAATAAAGAAATTTTAAAACACTGCAGTCCTATTCACAAAAATCACAAATCAGCTGTGTTTTGACATTTACAATAGGGGAGCGACGAGCGAGAATATGACATATCGATAGATTGAACGACGTTCGTTCTACATTCGCTCTTCCAGCTAATCGATAATCGTATCGATTTGAAGCCCGACAGTTATTTTTGGTGGATTTTGATTTAAATCAAACCAATCAGCAGTCGAATCAGACACTAATTCATTCCCGTATTGACGTATAAAAGGGTTTAATTTATCTCCAGGGAAAGAAGAAGTCTAGCTAGGGTGATTTCATCCGCGCTGATAAATCAATCGCATTATTCGTATGATAAGATGCAGGATGCAGCAAATTCTTGTTTCTTATTCTGTATCCTTTATCCTCAAAATACTTTCTGATTTAGCATCGTTCTGTGTCCAGCATCTACAGAACGATTTTGTAATCGAGCAACATGCAAATCGTTTGCTATTTTCATTTGACACATTCGGCTCTCATCGTCATAAATTATCATTCGGTCACATTTGACAGTTTGCTTTCGTTTTCTTCACGAAATTAACTTGTCTTCGTCTAGAAAAAATCTTTTTGTTCATTGTTATTTGTTTGTTAGCCGTGTAGATTGCTCATTAAAGTGTTTCTCTGTGTATCTACAATTAGTTAATGTCTCCTAATGTGTTGTAAAATGTCGTGCACTATAAATAGCATAGCTCGCAGTTAGTTGTAATTTGGTCTGATTGTGATGGTTGATCAGACATATTGACTAGTTACTGAGCAAATATGGGTCGACGAGAGGAGCCCGCCTGGAAGAGGGGGATAGTGGGGCTGTCCATGGCCCGCGAGCGCGGCGACATCCAGAAACAGTTCCAGCATCGATTGACGGTGACACGGGACACCATCGAGAGACTGGGTCATGAAGCTACGCTTCACGGGCATATGGGCTGCGTGAACTGCCTCGAGTGGAATAAGGACGGATCGTAAGTGGTGTTAAACTCTGTAGTGAACTATTTGGAAAGTATTGATTTGATTGCTTGACTGGAGTACCTTTTATCTTTCAAGTGTGCTGGCTTCGGCATCTGACGATCTCCACATCATTTTGTGGGACCCCTACCGCCACAAAAAGATTCACAAAATCACTACAGGACACACTGGCAACATTTTCTCAGTGAAGGTAAAAATTATGCAATTCTCTCTTCATGCAAATCATCCATTATTGCTTCAATATACATAATGTGTGTGGTTTATGTATACCTACATAATCACAGGTTATTATTGATCATGACCAATTGTGATTGTTTATGGGCAGTCTGTACAATCATGTTTGTGATTTACTCAGTGCTCATTTTATCTACTGGCCTAGAATCTAAATAATAGTGAAATGCTTCATAATATGTTTGTGCATGTTTGTTTAGTTATGTGTCATATTTATTTTCCTTCTCTCCTTATTCATTGACTTTTTTGTTTTGAGTTTGTTTACTTCTGTTTGGGTTTATTACACTAAAGTAATAGGTATTGGTAATCCATGACTTGTGATATCAAAATAATAGAATAAACATGTTTACAAATAAATACATATAGTAATCAAGAAATAAGTCTTCTTCAAATCTTCAATCTTCAAAATGGTTTCAATACTTATTATAATTTGTTTTTTGCAACTGCATAATACTTTCTATATTCTGTTTGCTTTGTTGCATAATGTATATGAATCTCATTAACATTAACATATTCAAATAAGTTGGCTTCCTCTTACAAGCACTGATTTAATTGAAGTTCAAGGGGTATTTTAGAATTAGAATTTGTATTATTTAAAAAATGCAATAACAAAGAAGAAGGTGCAAAATTGACCCACATTCTACAGTAATGAAAAGTACCTGGATTAATTTTGTATGGGCCATGCACCTACTCCTTTCATTTCAAAGATGTCTTTTTCAGAAGTTCCTAATATTCTTGTTTCCACACTGAACTTTTTAGTGGTTTGTAATCTGCTTAAGGATACTTCTTTGTAAACGTTGATACCTACTTTCCATACACTATGATATTGTGAATTTGTAACTGCATATTTTGTCTTATCAATAAACTCATCTTTTTTTCCTTAAAAGTATACCATCTGTGTGTAATTTATACATGAATTCATTGTTATATGTTTCTCTTACAATATTTCTATTGTTGGTTCTCTTCATACTTTGCTGTAAGTGCATTTATTGCTAGTAATGGATACCTAATCAAGTTTAAGATAAGATATTCTATTCAGTTGCAAGCTAGCTCGTGTGCGCGTCATTGTATGACGTCATCATATGGTACTTTAGGTACTTAAACTTATTGCTTCAATGATCTTGGCTAGATTAACTTGGAATAAAAAATCTGCACACTAGGAATTTCCTGTTACAACTAATATGTAACTTAATTTAATACATTTGAGCTTTCACAAAATATGCAATGTGTGTGTGTCATTTAAGGAACACTAATCGACTGAATTAAATAATGCAACAATTTCGTGATACTGATGATATACATAAGTTGAGTCTCCTAATAAGCAGTGAGAAGATATTACTTAGAAGTACTGCTGTATAATCTTAGGTGACTATCTACTACTACGGATTAATAAATTGTACCTCATGGCTGGATTGGGACTTAGGCCATACATGAATGAGATTGACCTTGTGCATATTTGACCCTTATGTATGTTTGTCTTTTTGAGTGACCTTATGTTAAATAAAACATTTTTATTATTATTCCTTTATTCATCTTACTTTCTTATTTTTAATTTTTTCTTTTTACAATGTAATTATTATCAAAAAATAAAAATCTATATATATAAAAATGAAACCCGTTTCGCGTTGTCACGGCATCACGTGTGAACGGCTGAACCGATTTCGATAATTCTTTTTTTTTAAATGTTTGTGGAAGTCCAAGGATGGTTCTTACGGAAAAAAATATTAAGAAAATCTCTACGCTAAGGCGGTACGAAGTTCGCCGGGTCAGCTAGTACATTATAAAAACAAAAATCTTAAAAATAGTTAACCCGCTGGCAGCGGAGCAGGGCCCAGGCTACCGGTGGTCAGGGTCACAGGCTGAGGAACCTCCGGACAATGCGTGCCGTGCTGAGGATCACCGCCTTTTGAATCTGACCCTTGAGCCAACCATCTAGCGAGAGCTTCTTTAGATGTTGGTCGAAGCTCTTCGCTATTAGCCCGTTTGCCGAGACAACTATCGGGACCATGATCGTCGAGTCAACATCCCACATGGCGGTCACCTCGTGGGCCAAGTCAAGGTATTTGCTTTGTTTTTTCTTTTCGGCCTTCACGAGGTTTTCGTCATGCGGGATTTTCATTTTCATTTTCATCATTATTATTATTATTAATATTAAATGATGTTAAATTTACTAATGCCGTTGCGATGTATGCCTAGTTTCTTTCATCAATAATGTTCCCTTATAAATGCTGCAAGTGACTTGCCTTCCAGTTCCTAACTCCAGACATCCTAGCAACATGCGCGGCGGACGGAATGGTGCGCGCTCGCAGCGTGTCCACTGGGACATCTCTTCTTGAGTGCTCCTGCCACTGCGGCCGCGTCAAGCGCCTGGCCACCTCACCAGAGAACCCTAGTATCTCCTGGTCAGCCGGGGAGGACGGGCTCATCCTGTAAGTGTTCATCTGTCCTGTACCACACATGTGTCTAATGGTCTACCACAGGTACATCTCTGCTCGAGTGCTCCTGCCACTGCGGCCGCGTCAAGCGTTGTTGATTGTGATTTCTGTAAGACACATCTATGTAACGGTCTACCAAGCGTGCCTCGCTATTCCGATCGTAGTTGAGACCACGGCGAACATACTGTGCGTTGCCCTTCGATAGAGCCACGATCTCAAGAAGATAGCTGGTAGTGCTGTGACTTGGGTTGGCTGATGCCATCAGGGGACTGCAACTGGTTCATTACGGTGTAGATGACGCGTAGCGTGTATGAAATTACTGCATGCATCATCAGACAGTTCATCTATCAGGTGGATTGGTGCGTTTCGCGGATTAGCTTAGACCATTGGTTTCCAAACTTATTTGAGACGCGCCCCCCTTAGTCCTTACAAAAAAATCCGCGCCCCCTCCTCCAGTCAAGATTATTTATTGGTCGTATCGAGCAGTCTGGAATGCATTCTCTCAGCGGTCGCAGGTTTTTTATACTTAAGTACTACTTTGGGAACCAATGGCTTAGACCTTTAGCTTACGTTTCGAACTACAATGCTACTCGTTTAGAGCATTTGTCCAATCTGTTAACTCTTCACGACACAAAACTGAACTTATCTATTCCGCAGGCAACACGACATGCGCCTGCCGCACCGATGCAACGCAGACTCCAGCAACGTGCTGGTCAACCTTTTGAACCACATGGGTCGTTACGCCGAGGCCAAGTGTGTGGCGGTCAACCCGCGCCGCGCTTACCAGTTGGCTGTGGGGGCCAATGACTTCTACGTGCGACTGTATGACACACGGATGATCAAGCTGGCCCGGCTGCAGGTTAGCGAGGTAAGGCAATTCATTGGGAAGATTTTAAGCTTGTTACTTTAATTACTGAAGCTAGCATACCAATTGGCAATGGGTGTTAACGATTACTACGTGCGTCTGTAAGACACAAGGATGATCAATCTGGTTGTAGACTAGCGAAGAAAGGTGCTTGATTGTGACTTTTATAAGTTTCTACTTTACCAAGAACATCCTCACCTAATGTTAATATTTTGGCATTGAAGTATAAATAAATAAAAAAATTCTCTGCTGACATTGGACGCCAACTACATCTATGCATGAGTGTATGAAGCGTGACTAGCAAAAGCAAAATAAACTTATATTTAAACGTATATTTCCTCTTGCCTGTATACCACGGAGATGTTTGTCATAAATGCCAGTATACAAGGCGATTACATACAACGGACGACGGTTGCTTTACTTTGGTGATTATCACCAAAATATTGTTGTCACAAATATCCTTTGCACAAACATTTTTGTAATTAATTTTGTTTGTGTAATGTGTTGCTGCCGATACCACAGAATAATAATAAGTACCTACTACGTACAGAAGTTTTACTTCGCGAAGGTATTTAAAATATTGTATGCTCAATGTCATTAACAATATGGTGTAATTTAGCCTGTCTCAAGAGTCAAGCACCATTTTGTTGACAAACGTCAGTGATCGGCACTGCGCCGAAGCTATAGGGCTGACTTCGGTAAAATGATGTGACGTGAGGTGTGAGGTAAACTGCGGAAAATGGCGGAGAAAATACATGATTTAGCATGAATTATCATGAATAATATTAACTACTTATTTACCTCTCAGTGTCTTGAGGCAACTTAAAAAAGTACATTCTGTGTTTTTATTATTATTTAGGCAGTTAAATACTGCACAGTATTTAGTACACCATTTTCTTTATTTTCTTCCATCATACACAAGAATACGGTTCTATATTGGCTCACATAAAATTCTAAATCCTATTCTTTGTCTTACTACCGATTTGTGTTCATAATAATCTCTCTTCATAATTTTATTTTTCATACTTTTTTTATTCATACATTTTTATTACTACCATCGGAGCTCATAACAGTTAGTAATTATAATTTTTTTATCAATAATGTTACTACCAATAACCATTTAAAATACATAATTTTTATTTTCAGATCTTTTTTCTTCATAACATTCATTGACCATATTGTTTTAATTAATAATGTTGTTACTAAGAACATACTTCAACTCATAATGTTGTTGTTCAGAATAATTTACTTTATAACAGACATACTCGTATCTTTAAAAAAATCATATATAATTTAATAGAGTAGATAAGCATGCAGAGCATGCAGCATGAAAGCAAGCATGCAGCATGCATTGGTATCTCCTCGTCTCCGGCGCTGCGGGATGTGCAGCCCTTCCGCCCTTGCGTAACGAGGCTCAGGCACCCACGCTTGCTTCCGCAGCTTCGGCTTTTTGGATCGCCATCGGCGCCTTCGGCGCCTCGGCGACCAGCCTCAGCCGCTCCAGCTCACCCGGGCGCCTGAGCCTCGTTACAGCGGGCGAGGGCTGCCCTCCCTCCGCGCCTCCGGCTTTTAAATTACACTCTAGGGGTAGGGCAGACAAGACTACGTGGAGTCGGTTTTGCAGCGATTCGTTTCTGTCACGTTAGTTTTGTGGCACAAAATATTGCCTGTTTTGGACCATTTCAAATTAATTTAATGTTAAAATACGATTTAATACGAATATAGACATCATGATTTTCAATAATATGGATAAATACACTTATGAGTAATAAATTTATGAAAACAAATATTAGGATACATCACATTTATGAATATTATAGTTATTTATTCGAATGATTATGAGTTTCAATAATTAGTATAGAAAAATATATGAAAACAAATATTAGTAAAAACTAAGTGTATGATTAGTGATATTATGAATATCAATGATTATGTTTTTAAATATGTAGGTTTTAAATTTTTTATGAAGAATGATCATCATGGTATCAAATTGTATGAGAAATATTTTCGGACCTCCAATGATAGGAATTGAAAAGTTATGTAAGAAAATGCGCTACCCAAGAATACGCGTGCGTGAGTCAATGTTCGCTCGTATGTGAGGCCTTGTCGAATAGTATCCTATAGGTGGGCCATCGTGCGTGTTTTGTTTTCGATGTAAACTCGCGGAGATGAACAGGCCTGCCGATACCTTTGTAATAGGGCTTGTACCCAAAACTGCGATAATAATAACACTGGTCAACAAAAAAAATAAAATTGTTTGTTTCCTGTGTTTTTTTTTCTGTTTCTATCTCAAATTGACGCATATTTTTTAAATATGGCAACAGTTTTTCTCCAACAGCTTTTGTTTTTAAGTTATAGCTATCTACCCTCATTTAATATTTTTACTTAGATTTTTGATTTAATTGGACAAAAAAATATATTTTGTTGGTGTTTTCGATATTGCTTCGTTATGAAAATGTTGTGTGCTTAATCCAGATGGTTTCTGCTATGTTTGTGGTAAATATAATATTTGAAAAACATCGAAAACCTCTATCGGACTTGATGAAAACTGCGTAACATCGACACTTTAATATAAATATTTGAAATTAAGTAATCAAGCCCACAAATGAGTCATTTGTGTTCTGAGAATAGGTAACATCTTTTAGGCCAACAAGGGGGCTACACAAAATTCCCGTTCCATGTGTCTCTGGAATAGTCGTAACAAACAATAGCATTGGTTACAAAAAATTTGACCAGTGCGGCTTCCCGCACACACAACTTTTAGCTCTTCAGCTAAAGTTGATACAAACAATTTTATAAACGTGCCTTTAGTTAGCCAAGACCGTATCACCGTACTTCCACCACTTTATATTAAGCTCGGCATCTTGAAACAGTTTGTAAAGGCGCTTGACAAAAGTGACGAATGTTTTAATTTTCTTTCACGAAATTTTTCAGGATTAAGCACAGAAACCTTAAAAGCTGGTAATTTTTGATGGGACTCACATTAGGCAACTGGTGAATGATCGTAATTTTAAGAAATCAATGAGTAAAGTCCAGTCCTAAGCTTAAAATGATTTTTTTGGTTATAAGTAATTTCCTAAGCAAAAAGAGATTGTTGAGAGCATGCTATCCAACTTGTAAGAGCTAGGGTGCAACATGGGCATAAAAATACACTTCATGTACTCGCATTAACATCGATTTCCACAAAATGTGGGTTAGTGAGGAGCAGGATAAAAGTTTTCATTGGAATTTTCTGACAATGGAAGAAGGTTATCAGGGGCGTGGTGCTCATATATGAATGGCAGACCATTGCTGCAGTTTGCAACGAGATCTACTCAAACTTGCCTATTCAAGGAAATTATATAAAATATCATTTGCTAGTGTTCAATTGAAATTTTATTAGTACAATGTATAATTTTTCGTATTTTTTTGTCAAAATAATAAAGCTCTATATTTTAAAAAGTAAAGCTGTTGGCGATCTCCCAGTATTTTTTTCATAATCAGGGCCATAGAAATACCCAATAACAGAAAAAAAATTAAAGGAAAAAAAACATGTGTTGACCAGTGTAATAATAATAAATACACTTTATTGCACACCAAAGATAAGAACAGAAAGAAAAGGAACGATGAATGCGATGTGATAATGCATCGTAAAAATCTCGTCGTCGTTGTTCATTCATAACCAAGCATGCTTTGGTGATAGCTTTTAAAATAAAACGTGCTTTTAAGATAATATTACTGTTAAATTGTTGTTATAAATGTAATGTGTCTAAGTATTGTGTCAGTAAGGGGCCATCCATAAAGTACGTCACACGAATTTCATGATTTTTGAGCCCCCCTCCGTCCTTGTCACAGGGGTCACCTTTCTGAGACCCCCCCCCCCCCCCCTTCCTAGTGTGACGTCACATATTTTGCAATTTTACATCGAAAAATTGCAGTTCCGAAATTAGTTTTACTTCCATTTAAATTAAGTACTTTTTTTATGAAATCAACATTATATCAAATATTTGAAATAATTGAAATGTGATGTCACGAAACTTAGGACCCCTCCCACCCTTTGTCACACCATGTCACACTTTGTCGTCCCCTCCCCCCTCTTTACGTGTGACGTACTTTATGGATGACCCCTAAAGGGTTTTTCAATGACTGCAGAACTGCCAGGGCGGCGGGTCGTCGTCGCGCATGATGTGGGAGCGGCAGAACGTGCGCTGCGCGCGCGCCGGCGCCGGCGACCCCGACAACAACGTGCCGCGCGCCGCCGTGCACTACTTCGCGCCCGGTCAGTCTCATACCTGTGCACAGTGTGTTATGGGACTGTATAATCGGACATTCTCATTTATTTGATGAACCGTATAGAGCTCAATTATACAAACATGATAGTAAAACTCCCGTTTGAAAATTCCACGTAGTTTTCGCGGTATAAAAATTCAAAGTTACCTATTTTTTTACTTCAAAATTATGCATAAATATTCTCACTCGTTAACTAATAACATTTAATTCAGAAATGTTATAATACTTCATAGATTATTTAAAACTAAAAGTAATAAGCGTATTAATGGCTTCGTAAACGCATTCAGTTAATTAGAAAAAATGATTTTAGTGATTTTTGTTTTTATGTATTTTTTTTCTGAATTATACCTTTATATATGCAACCATTTTAATTGCATTATCATGTTTGTATAACTGAGCTCTATACGGTTCATCAAATAAATGAGAATGTCCGATTATACAGTCCCATAACACACTGTGCTATGGTCTCATATAACATTTTAAACTTTCGCGTTCCATTAACTATCTAGATACTGTGAGCGTTGTGTGTCGTGGTAACATCACTATAGTAAAGTCAAAGACTCGCTGCTGATGGGGCAATAAAACTTTCGGGCGCTAGGGAAAGAAGCGTGCGGTGCGTCCCATATCGATAACCGCTCGCATTCCTTCGAAATTGCAGACTGTCATGTGCAATTATTTACTACCTAATTACGCGCGCGCATGATATAAAGTATTTATTTAATTACCCTTGCAGAAAAAAAAAAAGTTTATACCCACTAATGATAATGAAATGACAAAGATAGACAATGACAGGTCCTGCGCCGCCCGCATCCAGGCGCTCATACCTATAGTCCCTTTTTTTCCATCGGAAAATGCATATTCACTGCCAGATAGGGACCCTCAATGAGCTATATTGGACACTCAGCCAGGAAAGCGAGGCCTACCAACTAAAACCTGAACATGTCCTTCGGAGCCCAATTAAACGGAGTCGCGAGCTATTGTCCTGGACAATAGTGGACATTCGTCTGCGGCATGCCTATCCTACTTCACTGGACAATAATGGACATTCGTCTGCGGCATGCCTATCCTACTTCACTGGACAATAATGGACATTCGTCTGCGGCATGCCTATCCTACTAACCTTTGTTTGTGAGAATGGATGGATGAATATATGTGTAAAACCATGCTAAAACCACTGAACTGTTCTGATCATTAGACGAATCTGGATATGGAGTGAATTAACTTCAATTTTGTTTACCAGGTCACCTAACGATGGAAACTGGTGAGCAGCCGTTCCCCAAGAAAGCCACGACCTACGTGGCCTTCAGCCACGACGGCAACGAGCTGCTCGTCAACCTGGGCTCCGAGCAGGTAAGCCACCAAAATGGGCCCTTTCTAATTAATGTCTTATTTCGCACCCTTTATCATTTTATCCATCGGGGGATTGTAAAACTAGTAAAATGTAGTTGTGTGGTTCCGACAGAGTAGATAGATAATAGGATCACCCTTATTGTTCCCATTTATATTGTGAGAGGCGACTAAGAGAGAAAAATATGCTAACATCATCAAACCTTTCCAAACTTGGGAAGTGTAAACCAAACCCTCAATAACGTTGTCTGTGGTGAATCCGAGAGATTCGTGTTCCTGTAGTGGAGAGTAAATAACTTGTTGATATGGGTTGTTTATTGAGGGTTACCAGAATGTCGTGTCGACAACGAACCCACACAGTGTCAGCCCAAAACTTCGCTACAAGAGTGGCGTTGTCAGCAGCATTAATGAAATCCTGAGTGCAGTTGCTCGGGCACTCAGGGCACGACATCATGTGATTCATCGACGGGGGAACAAATCTGCACCTACACTACATGTTTGAGCCTAATCGAAGTCTTCAGATTGATGACAGATCTAATCAGCTCATCATTCCCCAGGTGTATCTCTACGACATCAACTCCGCCCGGCGTCCGATGTTAGTGGAGAGCTTCATCATCCAACACAACCACGGCGTACGCGACCGACCGCGCAACGGCCACGCGCGCGCCGCCACGCCCCACGCCACGCCCCAAGCAGGCCCCGCGTCCGACCCGCCCATGCCGGACCGAGTCAAACATCTGAAAGAGCTGGTAAGTTGCTTTATGACACTCAAGGCTAAAGATCAGGCCACGCCCCACGCCCCACGCCACGCCCCAAGCAGGCCCCGCGTCCGACCCGCCCATGCCGGACCGAGTCAAACATCTGAAAGAGCTGGTAAGTTGCTTTATGACACTCAAGGCTAAAGATCAGGCCACGCCCCACGCCCCACGCCACGCCCCAAGCAGGCCCCGCGTCCGACCCGCCCATGCCGGACCGAGTCAAACATCTGAAAGAGCTGGTAAGTTGCTTTATGACACTCAAGGCTAAAGATCAGGCCACGCCCCACGCCCCACGCCACGCCCCAAGCAGGCCCCGCGTCCGACCCGCCCATGCCGGACCGAGTCAAACATCTGAAAGAGCTGGTAAGTTGCTTTATGACACTCAAGGCTAAAGATCAGGCCACGCCCCACGCCCCACGCCACGCCCCAAGCAGGCCCCGCGTCCGACCCGCCCATGCCGGACCGAGTCAAACATCTGAAAGAGCTGGTAAGTTGCTTTATGACACTCAAGGCTAAAGATCAGGCCACGCCCCACGCCCCACGCCACGCCCCAAGCAGGCCCCGCGTCCGACCCGCCCATGCCGGACCGAGTCAAACATCTGAAAGAGCTGGTAAGTTGCTTTATGACACTCAAGGCTAAAGATCAGGCCACGCCCCACGCCCCACGCCACGCCCCAAGCAGGCCCCGCGTCCGACCCGCCCATGCCGGACCGAGTCAAACATCTGAAAGAGCTGGTAAGTTGCTTTATGACACTCAAGGCTAAAGATCAGGCCACGCCCCACGCCCCACGCCACGCCCCAAGCAGGCCCCGCGTCCGACCCGCCCATGCCGGACCGAGTCAAACATCTGAAAGAGCTGGTAAGTTGCTTTATGACACTCAAGGCTAAAGATCAGGCCACGCCCCACGCCCCACGCCACGCCTCAAGCAGGCCCCGCGTCCGACCCGCCCATGCCGGATCGAGTCAAACATCTCAAAGAGCTGGTAAGTTGCTTTATGACACCCAAGACTAAAGATCAGGCCACGCCCCACGCCCCACAATGCCCCACGCGCTAGGCTGCTCGCGATACGGGCACGCGCGCGCCGCCACGCCCCACGCCACGCCCCAAGCAGGCCCCGCGTCCGACCCGCCCATGCCGGACCGAGTCAAACATCTTAAAGAGCTGGTAAGTTGCTTTACATGCTTCGGTCATCATTCTGAAATCTTAATGTTCTACGTCATGCCCTACGCCCCACTCCCGTAAATGCCCCACAATCATGGTGTTTGCGACCGCCCGTCGCGGAGCAGCCCATGTCGAACCGCGTGCGACATCTCAAAGAGCTGGTAAGTTGCTTTACATGCTTCGATCAACATCTGAATCTCTACGTCATGTCGTATGCCCCATACGCGCCCGCTCCGGACTAGCTTATGACGAACCGCGTGCGTTAATTACTTGATGATACCCAAGGCTAAAGATTAGGTAACGTTCCACGCCCCGAGTACGCCCCACGCCCCTCAATGCCCCATAATCACGGCGTGCGCGACCACCCGCGCGCCGCCACCACACATGCTTCGGCCACGCCCTGAGCAGGCCCCGCGTCCGACCCGCCCATGCCCTCAAAGACCCCTCAAAGAGCTGGTAAGTTGCTTTATGACACTCAAGGCTAAAGATCAGCTTACGCCCCGAGAACGCTCCACGCCCCACGCTAGCCCTAAGGCCGCTTTCGAGCAGTGTATGCCGGACCGTGTCAAACATCTCAAAGAACTGGTAAGTTGCGACATGTTTAGAATGTCATTCTAACCTCGACTGCTGTATGCATCTCGTGAAACTATTTATACTGTACTATATTGCGGAGCAGCCCATGCTGGACCGCGTGAAACATTTCAAAGAGCTGGTAAGTTGCTTTACATGCTTCGGTCATCGTCTGAAATCTTAATGCTCTACGTCATGCCCTACACCCCACACGTGCCCGTACCGGACCAGCCTATGTCGAACCATTTGTGTAAGTTACTTAATGACATCAAAGGCTAAAAATTGGGACATGCCTCACGCCCCGAGTACGCCCCACGCCCCTCAATGCCCCACAACCACGGCGTGCGCGACCACCCACGCAACGGGCACCACATATGATTCGGCCACGCCCCAAGCAGGCCTCGCCCCAAAGCCGCCTATGCCGGACCGCGTCAAACATCTCAAAGAGCTGGTAAGTTGCTTTACATGCTTCGATCATCATCTGAAGTTTTAATGCTCTACGTCATGTCTTACACTCCACACACCCAAACCCAAAGCCCCACGCCGCCGCGCCCCAAGCAGGCAAGCGTCGAACATCTCAAAGAGCTGGTAAGTTGCTACATGTCACATCATCGTCATTCTAAGTTTCTAACTTCGACCGTTGCATGTATCTCTTGAAACTGTCAATAACAATGAGTTACAACGTGTTGCAACTTCAAGATCTGGTGTAAGTTACTTGAAGACACCCAAGGCAAAGATCAGCTTCATGCCCCCCCGCCCCGAAGCAGCCCATGTCGAACCGCGTGAAACATCTCAAAGAGCTGGTAGGTTGCTTTACATGCTTCGGTCATCATCTAAAGTCTTTGCTCTACGTCATGCCCTACGCCCCACACGCTACTTGTTACACGTTACTTGATAACGCCCAAGCCTAACACCAGGCCACGCCCTACGACAGGCCTGCCACCGCCCCGGGGCAACCATGGGACTAGTAAGCATCTCTTGAAACTACCAACGACAATGAGCCACTAAATAAAGATCTGGTAAGTTACTTGATAACCAAAGATCAGCTTTCTCAGCCTAGTCACAATGTGCACTGTTGTCTGAGAGAGCTAAGAGAGCTACTTCATGATTCTATGTATAATATGTATGTATTTACAAAAAAAAAGTATTTAAGTATGTTTATATCCGTTGTCTAGTATCCATAGTACAAGCTTTGCTTAGTTTGGGACTAGAAGTGCAGTGTAAAATGTCCTAGGATATTTATTTATTTATACCCATCGATTGCTAAAAATGTGTATCTATGTAGTGATTGTCAACAAAAATACCTTGCATTATCAGGAGTTAGTAAGTCACCTGATACACCTCAGTCCACAGACGTTACTAAAACCAATGACGTACCAATACTAGTAGTGATCTGATGGAACAGTCAGTTACTTGGTAACAAGAGTAATATCATCATCTCAGCTTTCAGACGACGCCTATATGATAAATTCACATTTATCGCTGCCATCATGAGCCCAACTTATGACTTGGCTCATTTGTTATTTTGTCATCAATTCACCATGGCTAGTAAGTATTAAATATGTGTATAAATAACTTTGTAACCTAATTTCAGCCTCGAAGACTCCAGACAATATCACCTGCCAGTCGTCATCAATCAAGCGTTATTTTCATTTCTTACAATTTTCTGTTTATGATTTTCGTTATTATTATTTTCGTTCTATAGCTAGACACGCGCAGACTTTCCCACATCATCTTATGTTAGTTTCTGGCTTTCCAGGCGAACGATCACGTGAAGAATGCTGACTACGAGGCGGCCATTCAGCTGTACAACCGCGCCATAGCCGACTGCCCACGCTGCGCCGTGCTGTATTCCAACCGCGCCGCCGCGCTCATGCGCCGAGGATGGTAATTATGCGACGCGAACGTTGCTACCTTAGGGCAAGGTTTCACCGTGTTTGCAAGGGTTTTGAGTTCTTTTTGGTGTGGTTTGGGACTTTGGTGTGATTTGATTCTTTTTAGGTGCGGTTTGGGGTTTTTAGATGGAAATTGGGCTCTTTTAGATTCACGGTTTTTTGGCACGAATACGTACGTATTCGCATGAACTTGCGAACGTGAGAACAAGACGTGGTAAATGATTTGTATTTGAATTGTCATAAAATATCAAAGTAAAGGCTACTTTACTATGTCCTAATCAAAATTTAACACTAAAACAGCTTCGGGACCATGATTTGAGCCCTGAAAATCGTTAATCCAAAAGAGTCAAAACGATTAAAAAGTGTTGGTGTGTCGTTTTATAACAGTCCGCGTTTATAGGTGCTGAATTTGCTGCTGTATACTACAACTTGCTTCAGACATTAATGTATTTCATAAAGCTTATACTAACTACTAAATGGGGATTTCTTTTTGTTCTTTCCCTACTGGATGAGCACTCTTATAAGCTAACTTTCTTGTGGACGAAGATGGAAACACTGTGCTCCACAATTTCTTATCTGATGATCGTGTGAGTCATTTATGCCTTTTATACGATAAGTATTCCAATCTATTTGATCAAAATCTTACTTCTATATTTGTTTGTTGATTAAATAAAAAGCATTATTTACTATTTCGGGGAAAAGTTATTCCTTTTACATTTAGCTAGGTTCAAAAACGGTCAAGGAAGGTCTGGTAACTGGTAAGTCATCATGATATACACCAAAGATGTTTAGAATCTGTTTTTGTTGTGTTTATGATTCTTTTGTGCAACTATATATTATAACTATAGTTATAGCTTAATTCTCTTTGGTTACACTATGTAAGGGATGGATGTACTCTATTTATTTATATTTTTGGGATGAATCCTATTTATTGGCTGTGCGAGTGCTGTTATTATTTATTTTTGCTGTAACATTTGGTGTGCTTCTTAAAGTTTGCTATATTTTGAGTTCATGTTTTTTCTAATGCGATTACGACAAGAATAGGACTGGCTGTTGAATAAATTCACTTGAATAAGAAGATTAAGCATAAAAACTTAAAAACATGATTTTCATAAAAATACTTCACTATAATATGCAGTATAAAAATTTTTGTTGCCAGTCTTTTTGTGAATTTTATGTAGAAATTAAATTTGAAGAGCTAAAGGAATGTTTATTAAAAAAAAAATATTTTCATCAGATACCATACAGCAGGGGTGGCCAACTTTATTAGACACAAGAGTCTACTGTTTACTAACGAAACCCTGGGTGATCTACCACTTACATACTTCTTGAAATCTTAAATGAAACAACATAGTTTACTACACAATCATGTAGTATTTTTTGCCTTGCCACGATCGACTGGACTAATAGTCGCGATCGACCGGTTGGCCACCCCTGCCATACAGTGATGATAGTTGGTTCGAGTGTCATATTATTATAGCACAAAATTGCTCTAGGCTTTTCCTATTCGGATTTTAATCGCATCGCATACGGCATTGTGAACTGTTGCCTTTCTGTCTGTGATATTTCAAATGTATGCACAACTATTTTATTTGTCGCAATGTTTGTCTGTGTCTCTCTGTCTGTAATCTGTTTGTGCCATGTTGGGCTTCTGTACTTTGTCTTAAGATATTTTGGGAACATCCAAAGTTCTCATACTTGGACTTCCATTGGACAGCCACAAAATTTTTAATTGTATTAAACTATGTTTCAGGCAATCATCCTTATAAATACAAAAATCTCAATAACTTCAAATCAAATGTATGTAAGACAAGGTATCGTTTGCGTCCGTACTCGTAAATGTGTACGTAACGTACGCGTAACGTAGATGTCGTGTTTCGTCCTTTAAAGTCAGACGATGCTCAGCACATCAAACTATACTCTGTGGCTTCTCGTGTAGTTGCAATACATACTGAAAGTGTACAGTCTGTGTGTTTACCGTGGGTTTACATTAGGTGTGCTCGCTAGCAAAAAAAGACATAAAAAGTATGTCAGATTGTACAGCGTCCCTAGCGGTTACATTCAAGAACTAAAATCTTCATTTTTTATATCTTCATAGATGTCACTCGCTAGCAATGACCATGTTAACTTATGGTAAAAGCCCATGTGCTATCAATAGTAACTTCGACAGCACATTAGACATTTTCGTTGCAAATTCGCCCCTATGACAAGAACATAAGACCCCACAGTGTTAACCTTGATGTGCTGTACCTAACCTAACCTACTCCGAAACGTTGGTTACGTAGTTTCGGGTCTGTCACTGTCGCTCATGCTGGTATCTCGCTTTGCGTGAGAGGAATGGCAACATTCGAAACTTCGGAAAACGTTTTTCGGAGTAACCCCCCTGGTTTTAATCCTAACTCCTCTCTAGGTCGGGTGATATCTACGCAGCTATCCAGGATTGCTACCGCGCGATCAAGCTGGACCCCGGGCACGTGAAGTCGCACTTCCGACTCGCTAAGGGCCTGATGGACATGAAACGAGCGAGAGAGGCGCACGAATGTTTGCTTTATTTCAAGGTCAGTTTCATAATTCCAATGGTTTTCAAAGGCCAGTGTTAATGGCGTCTCCGGGCGCGAGAAGACAATACGCATGAGGTTAATTAGCAAGTGACGGAAATGAAGTGAATGTCGTAGCTGACTTCGCGTCACGCTCCCCGTCTGCCTACGTCAAAACTAATTTATAATTAAATCTCGTGCCATAGACAGTTTGCGAATTATTTTTTGTTCTTTTCTTGGATGTTGTTAGAACCGACAAAGGGAAAAATATGCGGACATCATGTCTTCTATTTGCTGCTGTTAAATTAGTGAGGGTCGTCCTCCTGCTAAATGAGCTGATGATGAATTAATACTAAAGATTTTGTGTTTGACAGGACAAATTCCCCCGGCATTCTGGGAGCCACGCGGTTTTTCTGCTGCAGAAGGATATTAATGTAGCCCTCGAAGGGATGGAACAGCCTCACCCGGATGAAGGTAAGTCTATTATTTAATTTGCGTGCAGTATGTGCATCACTATGCACACACTCACGTCCCATAGTAGGTGTGTGCTAGATGACTGGGTCTTCAGTTTCTATCGAGATGGGTATCTGATAAGTATATTTAATGCTGCTTGTGGTGCTGTCTTTATGCTTATTAGAGGCTGCGTAAACGTAGACACTTTTTTGTCCAGTTGCTTCCACTTGACACCACACAACGACACAGTTTCCTAGGATGGTGTGCCGTGTCGGTAACAAAGTGTCTTTGGACCTGATGGTGTCATGAAACCTGCTTACGGGAAGACTTGTCTTCACAAAATTTGCGAAAAACACTAGAACGAAAACACCCAATAAACACTCGACTTTGGCAGAAATAAACCTCCCTGAGAGGCTGTTTAGTAGCCACATATTAAAAAAAAGTGTTTTCACTTGCCCAGCTGTTTAGTTCCAGAAGTGAACACTAAAAAGTACTAGCGTGTTCTATGTTTGCCCAGCCCCTAACTCCCACATCCCATGTTCAGTTCCAGAAGCGAACACAAAGAACTCCGGCGAGACCGACGAGAGCCATAATACCAGCGTATTAGAGCGCCAGCTGCGAGCGTCTGCTTTGGACTACAGCCAGCGGTTCTTGGGCCATTGCAACACCACCACCGATATCAAGGAGGCCAGCTTCCTCGGGCCCAACGCAGAATATATTGCTGCTGGGTAAGTCATACTGCAGGGGACAGTGGCAGCTAGACTAGCGGCTAGCTATGAGGCACTGGACTACAGCCGGCGCTCCTCGGCCAAGCAACACCACCACCACAACACACCACAAGGCTGATATGTACCACCCTAGACTGCATCTCACTTAACACCAGGTGCGATTGCGGTCATATAACTGCCCTGTCTAGCATAAAAGAAAAACCGTCATCAAAGAGGCCACTTTCCTCGGGCCCAACACAATATATTGCTGCTGGGTAAGTGAGCGACGTTAGAAAAACGGGTTAGGCACTGATATACAGCTAGCGCGCATTTTGCTGCACCATTACGGACACGGAGGAGAGCGTATCTTCACCTTAAAGGCCGGTAACGCACCTGTAACGCCCCTGGGTCTGCGGGTGTCTATGGGCGACGGTAATCACTTACCATCAGGTGATCCGTCTGCTCGTTTGCCTCCTGTCACATAAAAAAAAAACATTAACAGAAAACGTCGCGGCGAGAACTCGAGGCGGAAACGTTGAGAATCCAGGACACGTTCGCTGCGTCGCCGCTCCGTTTTGTAAAACGCTTGTAATCCGCCAGTGTGGCAAGGCCCTAAAGCACAGTGTTTTATTTTGGCTTAGATGCGGACATCCCTGTTTTATTAATTCAATCGTTAGATATTACTATTATGTATACAATTGATGAAGGAACTAGTAGTTGTATTTGTTTAGTTTCGAAGAAATATTCGATTTTGTGATTTTATAAAAAAAACCTGTTTTAGAAGCATATTTTCTAAAAAAATTACATTAAGTCAGAATTTTGTAAATAAATTTACCTATCACTATAACGTCTACCTTTATGTAAAAATAAATGGTTATTGCTGCAGTAATTTAGGAATTATTTAATAATTTATGATTTTCAGAAAACATTTTTTTCTCTGTTGTCCTAGAAAAATGGCAGCTAGACTTACTTTATATTGATGCATGATATAATTATCTATAATACCTGAAAATATTACTTGCCTATCCCGTGGAAGTTCGAAGATATTTTAATTTCTATGAGTTTAGAAGATTTATATGTAAATAGGGTTGTCATCTAAATATTTTTTAGTTTTTTAAATGCCGTCCGTAACAATACGGTTTTAATGCCTTTGTTAGATAACTATTGAAATTCATTGCTTTTACCATTATTAATTTGTCTGGTCGAGTTTGATAATTATAGAGTTGGCCCTGTGGCGGCTTATTGGAAATCCTATCGTTTTCGAAACATCGATATATATGTTGCAGTCAAAACTCATAATCGATCAAAACCACTTTTGACTGCAAATTTCAGTTAATAGTGGTTTTGACCGATGGCCTTAGTCAATATTACTTTTGACAAATTTTTCTAGTCGTATCATCGAACTTCCACGGGATAGGCAAGTAATATTTTCAGGTATTATAGATAATTATATCATGCATCAATATAAAGTAAGTCTAGCTGCCATTTTTCTAGGACAACAGAGAAAAAAATGTTTTCTGAAAATCATAAATTATTAAATAATTCCTAAATTACTGCAGCAATAACCATTTATTTTTACATAAAGGTAGACGTTATAGTGATAGGTAAATTTATTTACAAAATTCTGACTTAATGTAATTTTTTTAGAAAATATGCTTCTAAAACAGTTTTTTTTATAAAATCACAAAATGGAATATTTCTTCGAAACTAAACAAATACAACTACTAGTTCCTTCATCAATTGTATACATAATAGTAATATCTAACGATTGAATTAATAAAACAGGGATGTCCGCTTCTAAGGCAAAATAAAAGACTGTGTAAAGATACCAAGTACATTGCTGCTGCTAGGTCACTGATGCTGGCTGTTCGAAATGAGGTGTTTAAGATTTATCAAAGCATGTAAAACAGACAGTTTTACGCCTTAGAACCAGACAGATCAACATTTTTGAAACGGTGAATTTTGCTGTCTGTTCTCCTCACTGAAGTGTGATAATGTGGCAAACAGTTCCGTTGTGTATTTAAATGATGCTATTTATAATTGAACCTTGTAACACATGGGCTGTAACAACTGAGATCACATCGCTGGTATCAGATCGAATAAACTACTAACAGCTCAGTCGATGATTTACTACTATGTATCCCACCTAAAACCTGAAGTCTCACTGTTTTAGCACTGGGTCACGGAGACGGACCGATAGTTATAATGTTCCAATCATCATCATCATCATCATTTCAGCCATAGGACTCTGCTGTGTCCACTGCTGAACATGGACCTTCCCCTATGATTTCCACAATGGCCGGTTGATGGTGGCCTGCATCCAGCGCCTTCCCGCTACCTTTATGAGGTCGTCGGTCCACCTTGTGGGTGGACGTCCTACGCTGCGCTTTTCGGTACGTGGCCTCCACTCCAGAACCTTGCTGTCCCATCGGCCGACAGTTCTGCATACTATTAATGCCCTGCCAATTGTCACTTCAGCTTACTAATCCGTTGGGCTATGTCAGTGACTTTAGTTCGTTTGCGGATCTCTTTATTTCTGATTCGATCTGGTAGAGAATGTTCCAATGCAATGCCTTAAGCTTTCTTCAAGATCGAAAGTTCCTAAAGGTTTCTCTTAACACTTCAGCTCCGACGACGGCTGCCTGTTCATCTGGTGCCGGCGCTCCGGCAACATCGTGCGGGTCCTACGCGGCGACGAGTCCATCGTCAACTGCGTCCAGCTGCACCCAGCCTGCTTCCTGCTCGCCACCAGCGGCATCGAGGCCGCGGTCCGCCTGTGGAGCCCGCAGCCAGAGGTACTCACTCACACGAGCCCATCGTCACCTGCACCCCGCCTGCTTCCTGCTGCCACCAGCGGCATCGAGGCCGCGGTCCGCCTGTGGAGCCCGCAGCCAGAGGTACTCACTCACACGAGCCCATCGTCACCTGCACCCCGCCTGCTTCCTGCTGCCACCAGCGGCATCGAGGCCGCGGTCCGCCTGTGGAGCCCGCAGCCAGAGGTACTCACTCAAATAGGTCAACAAACTTGGTCCACAGATTTCCGAAAATTTATCTATTGTGAACAGTCTGCTTTGAAAACAAATTGTTTATTGCTTATCATTTTTTACAGGATTGTGTTGTCAGGATGCTATAATGATTCAATTCACTGTCATCTTAGAGGCTGCGCAAACTTAGTCATTTATTGAATCCAGTTAGTTTCGCTCGACGCCATAATAATATTACGATATAAGCATGCCGTACCAATAGAAAAAAGTGTCTACGTTTGCGCAGCCCCTTATTTTTACTATTTAGAATGTAGATATCGTGGTATGGTACCCATTTTTTTATAAAATAAATTCATTTATTACATCCTCGATTGGCGACCAGGAAAAGATAACAAAATTCAATGTCAAACCAAACTACCCATTACAATAACCAACTAACATTCAGCCGTTACACTCTTGACTGTTCAGGAGCAAATGATGGCAAATATCACTAACCGAATTCAAATCCTGACTGACTTAGTGTGATTCCAGGACGGGAACGAAGAGAGCCGTGTAGTGGAGGACACGCTGGGAGCGGCCTACGCCAACCAGCGCCGCATGCGCTCCGACCCCTTCGAGGCCATGCTGTTAAATATCTCCTTTGCTGGGAACCCCGACCGAGAGCTGCAGGCTCAAGCCTGCAGGCCTTCATAGGTAAGGGTCCACTTAGGTACAGCATAAGGCTCGGTTCCCTAAGATATGCGACTAAGCTGGCTGGTTATTTACACCAAAACGTAGAAATGTGAAGCCGAGAGAAGTGGAGATGTAACTGTGCGTAGCGGAGGTTTGTGTCGACACACAGCACAGCCCATCATCATTTCTACCGAAGCTGAGTCTCTTCTCCTCCGCCTTGGTGGAAACTGGGCCTTATGTAGGTATTGACCTAGGTAGGTACAGTATAATGTAGGTATTGACTCACGTAGGTACAGTATAATGTAGGTATTGACTCACGTAGGTACAGTATAATGTAGGTATTAACTCACGTAGGTACAGCACATAAAGGTACAGACCCGCAATGTAGCGTCATATAGTACTGTCCCGCACATAAACACTGTCCTACACAAAACAACCTACGCTCGGCGCGGCCTACGCCAACCAGCGCCGTATGCGCTCCGACCCCTTCGAGGCTATGCTGCTCAACATCTCCTTTGCTGGGAACCCCGACCGAGAGCTGCAGGCTCAAGCCTGCAGGCCTTCATAGGCAAGGCTCCACTTAGGTACAGCATAAGGCTCGGTTCCCACTAGAACGAAGACGTGAGGAGACGAGAGATGTGCGGCTAAGCTGGCTGGTTATTTACACCAACGCGGAGAAATATGAAGACGAAAGGGGTAGAGATGTGAGCTGTGCGTAGCGGAGGTTTGTGTCGACATACAGCACAGCCCATCATCATTTCTACCGAAGCTGAGTCTTTTCTCCTCTCCGCCTTGGTGGAAACTGGGCCTTATGTAGATATTGACTTAAGTAGGTACAGTATACTGTAGGTATTGACTCACGTAGGTACAGTATAATGAAGGTATTGACCTACGTAGGTACAGTATAATGTAGGTATTGAGTCACGTAGGTACAGCACGTGAAGGTACAAACCCGCAATGTAGCGTCATACAGTACAGTCACAAGAACACTATCCCACACAAAACAACACACGCTCGGAGCGGCCTACGCCAACCAGCGCCGCATGCGCTCCGACCCCTTCGAGGCTATGCTGCTCAATATCTCCTTTGCTGGGAACCCCGACCGAGAGCTGCAGGCTCAAGCCTGCAGGCCCTCATAGGTAAGGCTCCACTTAGGTACAGCATGAGGCCCAGTTTCCACCAAATCGGAGATAGACTAAGAGAGAAAAGTTTGTCAGCGTATTAGAAGAAGAGAAGTAGAATTACAGTCTATTGAACATACAGAAAAAGCCACCGTAAAAGTTAGGCTTACGTTATACCATAAAAGCTGATTTTTATATAAAATAGGGCAATAATTAGAAGTAGTTTCCTCATCAGCCAGACAGTTTTGACAGTTCCAACTCCTTGCCAGACATTTTTTTAGGATAGCTGCCAAAGTCACGATGACCCAAACTTCATGATTCACCAACATTCTATCCTATATTGGGAGCACACGCTGACAAACTTTCAGCTTTTATAAAATGACGTAGGTCTGGCGTTCACCAGCTCTTAGTCTAAGAGATGAGGAGACGAGAGATGTGCGACTAAGCAGGCTGATTAATTATACCAAAGCGTAGAAACAGGTATGAATGTAAGCTGTGCGTAGCGGAGGCCTGTGTCGACATACAGCACAGCTCATCATCATTTCCACCGAAGCTGAGCGGAGAAAGATGTGGCAATAACGAAATCTGATTGAATATTCAAAATACATCCCCCGTCTTTGCTCCTCTCTGCCTTGGTGGAAACCGGGCCTTTCGTAGGTACAGTATAATATGAATGTTGACCCACGTAGGAATAGGTCCGCAATATACTTCTTTATTGTACTGTCCCACGCAGACAGAACGATGAAGTTTAGATTCTTATAATACAGGAACACATGGGCACAATCAGTATGACTTATGCACACACTTACCGTAACAAAAGTAAATGCAAATCGACACTTGACCTATATACACATTATCTTTTCAGGCAATGATCAGCACACGGCATTTTGTGTCCGGCAGGGTGCCCTCGCGAGGCCCACAACTCATCAGTCATTTGTACATAGTCTTACATGGAAGTGAATGCTAGTTCTGACGCACACTCCTTAAATATTTGACAGTCACATTACAGCTGTCATTCTGACAGATGACAAGGAATACAGAGAAAAAGTGTGCGCCTCAGAACAAGCAATCGATTGTTTATTCTCCTTAAAATTATATTATTTCCAATGGGGAGTAAGTTTTTGTTTCAACACGAGTGCAGTTCGTATGATGGTGCCAAGGTTTATTACTTTAAATTTTAATAAACGGTTATTTATCTGATTTAATATGCAGTAGTGCGATATGATCAAGTGTTAGGCGATCTTTATATTTAAGTATTTTTTTACGGACTGAATATGATGGAGAGCTAAAGACGTTTCTCCCGTCTAGCAAATGAAAAGGCGTATTAAAAAGTAACGGTTTTTATTCAATGATGTCAGTAGCCAAAGCCACTTAGATCATAGTATTTGTCGTCTAGATTATATCGTCAATAAAAAAGATATAAAATATATAAACTCTGAAGCTTTTAGAGAAAAATATAACTATATTTATATCCATGAATGTTTTTAGATTTAAGAATACGCATATCCAATTATTATTAAAATAGTATGAATGTTAACGATGCATAATAAAAATAGTTAAAATAGTCAATATTAATTACCGGTATACTGGCCCAGCGCACTGCCTCATTGCCTTGCCCGATCCTATTGACATCATTGAATTCAGTGCGATTTTATTAAACCTTGTAAGGTATAACTTCGATACATGATCACGAGATAGTGTACGAATGAGGGTTACCGTTTTATGGTTTAAGACATTTATTTCTCTAAAATAATTACATTCACTTACAAGAGAAATACAAAATCTATATATATAAAAGAAAGTCGTGTTAGTTACTTCGCTTATAACTCAAGAACGGCTGAACCGATTTAGCTGAAAATTGTCAGGGAGGTAGTTTAGAGCCAGGAAAAGGACATAGGATACTTTTTATCCCGTTCGAAATAAAAAAAGTCTGCTTATTTATTGCCATTAAGGCGGAACAAAGTTCGCCGGGTCAGCTAGTTAACCTTAAAACTATAGATTATTTAAAGTTTTTAGCGCTACCATTTGGCGCCAAAGTGTAAGCATCTTTAACTTGCTAGTGGTTTTACAGTGGCGCCAACTGATGAGCGCTGAAGCGGTAGGACTATCGCACTCGCCAAGATGGCGCTACTGTAGAGTAAACTTCTGTCACTCGCCAGTGATGCCAACTGTTAAGTAGAAAAACGATAGCCCTCATTCGAATTAAGCTATGCTTCACAAGGTCTAAAGTCCGGTCGCCGAGCACATAGAATTTCGTCCAATGACTCCAAGTTACCCAGCCTTATTATATTGCTGTCGCGCTCGCACACTAACTGCGGCCGCCCGTGGCATAGTCGCGACAGCAATATAATTACGCGCAAGCGATAAGGTCATTAAACGAAATTCTATGTGCTCGGCGACCGGGCTTTAGTTCTAATATCGAGGCTTATAATAAACATTTAATAAAGGAATAATGGATGTTAATGTTCAGGTGCAAACGGTTTAATTTCCTGTTCACTAGTTGAAAAGGAACAATCGTAGATCCTAACAAAGTAATCTATGCTCTGTGGTAGCTTTATGCGTCATAAGTGGCGATGTGAAAATATTTTCCAGACGACAGCGCGTCAATATAAACACTGTTGCACCTTCTGTAGACGTAATTAGGTGCATTATTGCAACAAAAATGTATAGCCAGATGTGCTGTCGTTTCTATAATAAAACTTTGTGTTTTGGAATAAGTAAATGAAGACAAGATTGTTCCTACGTCATTTAATTATGTGTTTAAATATATGGAATTAATCTGTTGATCATTTAACCTCTCTGGGAGAGTGTTGTCTTCGAAATGTAACAGTAACGCTGTCATTTGAAACACAGGCTGAGGCCTTAATATGATTTATATGACACTCCGCTGGATCGGATGTTACGTATCACGGAAATGTATAAATATGCGAAATAATGTTATAACGGTTATCACGGTTTTTCATACGAACATATGGTAAGTGTCGCTGTTAAATTGACTTATAATTTTGGAATGTTACTCAAAACTTAGATGACGCTACTAGCACAAACAGTATACAAACTGTATCGTGATTCGTGACGTAATATTTGTAACAAATTAACTGTCAAATCAAATTACATTGTTATTGACTGACCACTGATTAATTTAAATGTTAACTGTATTAAACTTATTTTGCAGTTTTAATCATGTGTTGAACATCAATAGTAAAAAATTCTTTGTGCTAGTGCTACACTCTGGTGGTAGATATTTGCAATACGATCGATTGACTCAATCCCTCACACGGCGAGATGTAAAATATTTTTATAATTATTGTGGCTTATGAATTGATTTTAGAAGTTATAATACTATGGTAGAGATAATCCGGCTTATTGCTATATACCTACGGTTAAAGTTATGGGATCTCAAATTTGACCTTTAATTCGTCTCGTTGATATCTTGAGGTACAAACAGACCTCTCATTAAGTTCAACTATGTGAATTTTAAGTATTCGAAATAGGTGCTATTTAACGAAAAAATTCATTGTACACACACTGTACACAAAAATAGTGTACACGACATTTGTGTGCAAAACGAAATCATTTCCGCTGTGTGAGAACTACCTTTAATGGAAATAGTAAATGCGGTTTATACTGGCCTTATTGTGTGTGATCATTTTTGTATTCCATCTGCTAGGTCACACGATGGTCTTTATAATGTTAATTTAATTCAGTAAATTGAAAAATATCCTAATTTATCTATCTTGTCTATGGTAATATTATTATGCATTATCAAATTGACAACTGACGGCGCGAAGTCGATCAGTCAGTCATCGTTAAAAGCATAAATGTTGCTTCAAAAAGTTCAATCAACTTTCTAAAACGATGATTAGTTGACTTTTGTTTCTTTGTTGAAGTACATCATTGAAACACGTTGGGGCTATCTGTGTGTGTTGTGACAGCTGTAGCTTTGTGGCTGTCAAATTTCTTCGAATTCCACTTCTACCACTTGCACACCAAACGAATACAGACCTTATTTGTGTGACACGCTGTTTCATGTTTGTTTTATTGAGAAGCACACTTTAAACAGACACAATAAGACTGCGTATCGCTGCGCTGTTCATGATTTATTATTAAATAATTTGACATTCGAACCATAGACAACTACTGTATCAATATGACAGTTCGAATGTCGAGTTTTTAAACCAATTAATCCGATAGTAGATCCGTAGTTAGTCTCAAATATATTAACAGTTAAATAAAGTTATATTTTAAAACTGAATAGGTACACTTGTTTGTCTCTTCTTGTGGTGATTATGGAAACACCAAGTTTTGTATGAATCTATCTTTTGTTACACGGTTCCTTATAAACATATTCGGTGGTGTATTTGATTGTATGATTTTTATATAAGAATGGATTTTATGTAAGGACTGGCTGTAAAATACGTACGAGGGATAGAGAAATAAAGGTGTACGATGTAGAATTCTCATTCTAGATTTAATTATTTTATATAACCCAAAGTTAGAATTTATTAATATCAAGACTTATTATTTACTGTAATATGTTACGAAAGACTATATACCTAGGCTTAGAAATGTTAGATTACATTTATATGGATTTATGTTAATAATAACGTACGTTTACTTCAATGTGGGGGTGTAAGGTGACGTCAGCACGATAGACATTTTCATAATTTCTTGTTTTATTTCCATATTAAAGTTGAACGTCGATCAACATTATTTGACTTATACAGTCATGTTTTTGTTTATACTTGAGCGTTATTATAATGTACTCGCCCGTTGTATGAAATGTCAGTCCACTTTTTTAAAAGAATATTAGTAATTTGTATTGTACAAGTTACCAATAGTCCTGTTAACCCTTCAAGCTAAGCTACGAGTGTACGCTAGGTTATGCTTCATGTGAGTTCGAACTACCGACCTCCGACAAGTCTGAAGTCGGCAGTTCGACATCGACACCATTAGGGTATTGTCGCCTCAAACGATTATGTAGTCATTTCATATCGATAGCTACAGGAATACTACTATAGTTGTAGTATATTGGATTGTTTCGACAGAGGCAGTCGTGGTTTGTTGTTATGAGGTATATTGACATTGTTGTATGTGCGACTTTAGTATGAAACAACCGGCGCATGCGTAACTTATGATAAACTGATACACACAAATGCTTGCGTATTTCACTTGGTATTGTGAATATACCTACTGTCAATCGGACTCATTACTTTTATGCGATTGTATACCTAGTTAAATTGAAAAGCACTTATATAATAAAAGAGGGGTGTATTTATTATTATATTTGAATTAAGGTTGGGTTACATTTTTACCAGCATAGTATAGAAAAATATATATTTTATTGGTTTTCAATCATAAGTCATCTAAATAAAGTTCAAAATGTGGTGGCATTCAAACAATTAGCCACCACTAGAAAAAGGAGTAAAGAATTCGCCATGTATTTTACAGCGAGTTCGACACTGGCAACATTCCGACGGGTGATTCAAAATAAAAGTAGAGTTTTGTAATTCGGACATAATACTAACCATTAGCTAGCGGATTGCCCCTCGCAGGGTTGCCAGTTAGTTTACTGTGATGCTCTGTAATATTTTAACGCCTTAGAGTTATGTATTGATTATTTACGATTAATAAAACGTAAATATTTTGTTGTAATCATTATTCTGTTTATTATATTTCCCTATCCCGATTATTTACCAGTTAAAAAACACTTTCAAGTACTAAGTTTAACTGATAGCCTAATCTCAAATTGTCTTTCGTTATTTTTTTAGGGCTATCGTTTTTACACTTATCATTTGGCACCACTGACGACTGACAGAACCTTGAGTCTACAGTAGCGCCATCCTGAGTAGTTCTACCGCTTCAGCGCTGACTATGTGGCGCTAGTATCAGCCACTATTGAGTAACAGGACCTTACTCTACAGTAGCGCCAACTGGTAAATTTACTTTGCATCTTCAACACATAGCGAATATTTAAAATTAAATTTATACTAAATGCGGTACAGAGTATCGTATTTTCTATTTTTACAACAAAACTAGCCCAAAAAACAATACAACATAACAACAATAATGAAGCCACGATAGCCGAACGGTGAAGGGGTCGGACTGGCCGACTCGTAATCCGGGGAACGCGGGTTCGGTCCCCGCCGCTCGACTATTGTGGTGAGCTCACTCGTGACACAAGCATATTTAGCTTAGTACGAGGGGCTAACGGGAGTATTAGTAATAATGTGATTCGATCCTTCTTAGGTTCTAGCGATCTTCCGTGCTCCCAATTCTAAATATTGTTCGACTCTTCTTGCTAAAGTCCTGGCGATCTTCCGTGCTGTTCTGTCCCACGCTGAGCCTCGCATCTAGGAGCGGGAACTCGTCCGCCGTTGGCAAGGAGACGCCAACGGTGGTGGAGTTACCAAGCCCAGGTACGTCCGACGACATGTGTCTTGACTTCAAGATAACCGATGATTTCTTCTTCTTCACAACCAGTGGGACTAGAGCTAGACAAAGTGCACATTAAAATCGCAAAACAATCGTAGTGGTCGAAAGCCTTTTTTTGTACGAAGTTTTGACGGATTCGATTTTCGATTCGATCAAAAAGGGCATTTTGTCTAGGGTGGCAGAACAGTAGATCTACATTTATGTCCACAATATTAAAAAAAAACAATCAAAAGTTTATTTTTTACAATGTGATGTAATAAACCTTAACAAAACCGCAAAATTTCATATTTTTATTAAATTAATCCAAATCATAATCGATAAAACCTTTCAGTAACTCCCGAGGGAAATCGAGCTTTTGTCCCATAAAATTAAATGTATTCTATGCATGGTAAGAAAACATTTTGCAGCTTTGTTAAAACCTTCTTTTTTTAAATTCCCCAAGCCGCTAAAATGAAGACGACAAAAACCTTAGGTAATTATTTCCATAGCACGCCTAACAATTAAAAATTTAAGAACAATAAAATCATAATTTGAGAATTTTACTTATATTTTAATCTGTTCTTCAAAATATCAATATCACATTTATTAACATCTTTTATTCAAAAACATTGCATAAGGCTGTAAACATTTTATGCCTTTGCTTGTTAAAAAAACAAATTAATATTGTTCGGCTGCAGGGTAGGTAGTTTTAAAACTTCTCAGTCGCCGAGAGAACGGTGCTAAAATCGGTTTTCCGCTAATTTTGAGTATATTTTTAATTGATATTGTGTAATTTAGTGAATATTTATTGTAGAATACATTTAGTTAAGTGGATGTAGGGATCGTGATGTGAAACAGTGAAGTGTGAAATATTTGAAGACACACCGTCGTTCATCATGGTTTCGAGTTGGTAAGATTATATTATTATTTTGAAAAATAATTTAAGAAGTTATTTTTATGCAACTAAAGCAGAGCTTACATAATATTTTGCTGTGGCGCTTTTTAATCCTAACACACCAGATCAAATATCCGATTCGAAATCAAATCTACCTGCACTATCTATAGTATGTAGTCTATACTAACCGAATCGAATTTTGTGCTATGAATCACCGAGCCAAGCGTACCACATCGTGATTTATATGGACATTTGGCTATTATATTAGGTAAGTTATCTATGTCTAACCAATTTATTTTATGAATTACCGATGATTGTCCAGACTTTGGCTTACTAAATCTTTCTTTTCAGTGGGTAGTACACATGAATGGACTCTTCGGGTTTTGGAGCTATCGGATGCGGCGTCATCTCTTCGGTTCTTCGGTACGAGACGACGTGACGACGAGTCGGCGGCGACACTTCTGAAATCGAGAAAGGTAAGATTTTAGTTTCTTTCGCGTAGTGTATAAAACTTTTATGTACCGTCGACAGCACATCGGGCTACATATTATTTCTGCAAAATAGGTAGCATCTATTACGACCATAGACAACTCAGTGTTGGCTTGATGAACTGTCCTACTGGAGATAATATGCTGAAGTTTGAAAGGCAAATCTTTTGGTCGATTGCGAGCGGGCTAGAGAAACAACGATAGTTGTTTGTGCCGCGAATCAGCGATAGTTGTAGTACTTTTTTATTTTCTTAATTTTCGGAGGGTGCAGTCGACAATCTAATAAATATTCATCGGTTTAATGAGACCGATAAAACGATATCAATTTATTATTTATGTGTGTGCGCATTTAGTTTATTTTCGGCAACCGCGCTGCGTGCCTTTGCTACCCAAGTTTTTGGTAATGTGGTTTACATTGTGGGGTAGTTTAGTTACCCAACAATGTGGTGGTATCAGGGTCTCAAGTACTTAATTAATAGTAGCGAAATAACAATTTTAAACAAAATATGCTTAGTTCTTTGAAAAGTCATTATGAGTTTTCAATAAAAAAGTACATTTCCATACTTTTTACATTATTTTCATTATATTTGGCTAATTATTATGAAATTCATAAGCAGTCAGGTGATATTTAGTTTCTTTCTTCTACGAAATAGCGATAATATATTTTGAGTATTAGGAATAAGACGAAAAGATCATACGTACCTTATCTGTAAAATGGTAGTTCTGTGTCGCGTATCCTATCGATGACTTTCGGCCTTTCTGAAATGAAAAATACTTAAATAAAACAACATAAATTTTCTTTTTATAAACTTTTTAATCCTGTCTTGTCTCTAAAATATCAAATAGTTATTTGCAAACAGTGAATTTAATTTATCTCGTCGTGCAGTATTGGATTATTTAATTTGTGCTTATCATTACGTTGTGACTAGTCTAGAGTTTATCTTAGCGTGCTATCAGTGAGGTCATGAGGTGTAGTCGTAGGTGGGCCTGAATTATTCCAAACCAATACAAATTCAAAAGCTGATCTGCATATTTTGGTTTTAATAGCATTTTAATATGTGTTTTCACTCGATACTCGCAGAATTGACAGTGATGAAATGAACTTACGAGCTTTTTGCTTGCCCGGTGAACGTGTTTTAACCAATAACAGAGACCCCTCGTATTCATTATATTGTATCGTTAGTGGATTTAACTTCCTCCTAAAGCTGTCGATTTTTGACATCTACGAGGACAAAATTAGCTTCTAAAATATCTCGATTTCTAAAGTTAAGAAATATCTTAATTAAATTAATGAAATACAGAACTTAAAAAAAATGTGTTTACTAGTTTTGTTAGGTCTAATTCCAATAAACTTTTAGGTATTTAGTTAGTATCAAGTTCAATAATCGGCTAATTAATTACCTGCGACGGAAATAAAGAATTAAACTAACAGAAACAATTCAACTTAACTTTTTAGAAGAAGAATACAGTATTAAATATTTGTAAATCTTCAAAGCTTTTCAAAAAGTTGGGTTAGTTTTTGAAATAGTTTTTTAACTAAAATGTGTGACAATGCGCATCAAACTTTCCGATTATTCTTTTCTCTATCAGTCAAAAGGTTTTATTAAAACACTTAACAATAATTGATATCTCTCTCATACGTAGGTTTTTTTATGCATATAAAGTACCTGATTTGCCTGACCTGCCGCAATCGCACCTGGTGTTAAGTGAGATGCAGTCTAGGATGGTACAATCTGCCCTGTAAGTGCCTATTCACTCTCGCCTTGAAAATGCCCGGATTATAATGTTCGGGAAAGACAGCAGCAGGCAACGAATTCCAGTCCCTAGCTGTTCGCATTATAAGAGTTATCGAAACGCTTAGTGCTAGCTGGTGGAATGTCCAAGGTGGAAGGTACAAACAAAGCTATGTATTTATTATTACGTTTATCACGTGGTATACAACTATGCATATTGCATATGAGTGAAATTATATTGCTCACTTTACCGAACTGTATAGTTCTATTTACTGGGGATTTTCAAACACACAAGTGGTTAAAATCACGAATCAATAGTTGTATCAATAAATCTCAGTGTCACTTCTCACTTACCATGCGACGAGATCTAAGCAATCTTAATTCTCTTTATAAAAAGGTCTGTAATCTTTGAAACACTGATCCGATTCTGAATAATACTTATTCCATGGCTGACAATACTATTTCTGAGCTGTATTGTTATACCAAGAACAGTTTAAGAGGTACCTAGATGAGATAGCTTCGTCGTAACCGAAATTCACGCAGTCACTTTTTGAAATAAAATTTGTAAAGTTTAAAGAATCAAATAAACTGAGGTCTAAATATTTCTTTAAATGCGTTTTTCTTTTAGGCAATTTTCTTGTATGATTCAAACATTGTAAAAAGTTTTATTACTACACTAACGTCATGTAACTTCACTTACAAAAAGTTAAAAAACACGCCGAAACTTCAGTTATTCCTCCAGTTCTTCTATTATTAGCTTTTTAAGTTTCTCTGTCTCTGCTTAAACCGGAATTCTTGGAAACTTTAATAATATCAAACGAAGATCGGGACGTTTGAGTTCACACCCTCTGTCTTACGCCCCACGACCGGCTGATAAGCTCACATACGGGCTAGGGGATCTTTAACGAATTTCAATACGATAGTAATAATAACACAAATATCCGGCTAACGGAAGACTTTCAATAATAATATAAGGAGATAGGTATTTTTCTCACAGTTAAATAAAACTGAAACTTTAAATAGTAATGACCTGATTACTGTGGATGTAGAAGAAGGAAGAGATACGATACGAGCAAGAATTAATTTAAATACTGCACTTAACATAATGAAAATTTAAAGAAAAGTTTAAGCTCTACATTTAAATACTTGTCGGCCATTTTGAAAATAACCGCAACCGTTACTCTAAGTTCTCTTTCTCCGTTCAAATTTTCTTCCTTAACGCACATTCTTCTATTGGTAACTGGTTAGTTTTATAATTATTAACTGGAACTGCCACATTTTCACAATTGAGCCACACTAAGCACTGGCCTGTCCTTGTCACTCGCGCGCTCTTCGCGCCACCCTTCAAGCCCGACTGAGGGAATGCTTGCTATTTGAAATTGAAAAAGGAACGAAAAAGCTGCGCCTGAGTTGGCCGCCATCTTGCCGCGGCCGTTAATTTCAAAACTGGTTCTTCTCCCCTTAATATTAAAGTGTAAAGTTGATTAGACTCGCCGCTACTCTATCTTTGTGGGAAGGAACATTTTCAAGTTCATTTCTGCTAATTTAATTTCAAGGCGCCTTGTCAATTAGGGTAGTTCTTTGTGCAATTGTTGGAAACACGGGTTTTGATTTGTTTTGTATAATGCTCACAATTTATTAGTATTTGTTCGGTTTTATGAAGGGACAAAAGGTTTGCATTGAGTCTGTCGAGTTTTGAAGCTAATTGGAGTCTTATAGGTTTTGTTCAAACGTACAATTGTAATTGCACAGTGGGAACTGCAGCTACTTGTATTAGTATTGTATGTTGACGATCTGTTTATTTTACTTTTAGAATGAAATTAACTAACATATTGTCTTAGAATTCTAACGACTGCTACATGATGAAAGTTGGATCTGATAAAAGTTGAATAAACGAGCTATTGCAGTATTTTTGCGAATTTCATCATCTTGTTTACGCGGTTTAACTATCATTTCTGTTGAATGGGCACCAAAACAGGTATTGTCACCAGATCTTGTCTTGAATATTTCGTACTGGTATTACAGGAAATAGTGTCTGGTTGTTTATGTTAAAAATTCTCAAGATAATTTGCAGTGTTTAATACTGCGATAATACCCGCTCGTGTAATGTATTGGGTTCCCATACTTCCCATAAGCTCGTGGAGCGTGGGCGGCGCCACCGGCGTAGGCAGTGCAGTGTAAAAGAAAGTTGGGACGCATGCGTTTATCGGGCAGACCGCTCAGGGCGTTTAAGGTTTGAATTTTCATTAAGGATGACTCATTCGAAGGTTTATGTGGTTCACTCTCCGAGACGAAAGTAAGACTTGCTCGACAACTCGCGTGCACAGCGCAGTAAAAAAAAAACGGATTGAATTCGACAAGATTTTCATGATCGAGCAATTTGACGATAGAAACAAAAGGTAAAATCGGAAGATGCCAACTCTCGCGCATTCGTTGAAAAGTCACTAGTAAAGTGTGATGGCAATAGAGTTACTGCATATTTCTTTTAAGTGTTTAAGAAAAATTCATTATTAAATATATTATATTTATTGTAATTTTGGCGCGGGATATACATAAAAACTTAGTTTTGTATTTTTATGAATCATTTATGGTACGATATTGATTATTATTTCACTTCCAGTCTATTGATATGTAAAATGCCTAAGCTTAAATGTTGTTTTGAAGTCTGCATTGATTAAACGATGTAATTTGACGCATGTGTGGGTAGCCGGAGCTGTTGGTACGAAGGATAGGTATTTATCAATGCAAAAAAAACGCTATTTTATACCTAAATAAAATTACAATCTACCTAAAGACAACTTTTTTGCATTATTAACTTTAAAACTGATATTTTTTAAGCTAATCTTCAAATTCTAATTGGAATAATGTCGTGAAATGTAGTAGGTAACTACACAACATGTAAATGCACAACGAAAGGAACTGGTTCACAAAGTAACTAGAATATCTTGATAGTAACACCGTTTTCGTAGCTCAGTAGTGAGAGCAATTGACCGAAATGTTATAGGTATCAGTCCCTTCTACGGTAATCAGACAAAAAAAGAAATATTCAGTTGAAACGAATTCCATTGGTTACTCTGTCTTTTAGATGAAAACATTATACAACGTCGATGCATTCACATTCCTCTATAAAACGTGTCCAAATCAAAATATTAGCATTTTTATAAAATGTACGTTGGATTGCGTCACTGCCCTTTGAACTAGTGATTCAGCTGATCAAACAATATCTATGACACTATTGTCTTATTAAAGTAATAATAACAAAATACCTACTGATGTAATGATTCAAGGAATTCTGTGATTGTTCATTCTCTAGCGTAACACGTGTCTTGTATAGAGTAAGATAATATTTTAAAAGATTTTAATCGTCTTAATTCTAAATTCCAGTATCTGATTTCACTCATTAACTTACTGAAATCGCAGACAAGAGCAGCCGAAACATCATTTTGACCAATAATAATCTTAGAAAGTGACATTCCAACTGAATTAAAAATTGAAGTATTTTTTTATTCGTTTTCAACCTTGTAATAAAGATATAAATTCATTGGGGAAAGTAATTTTGTAGCTGCCTAGGCTGGGTTGTAACTTAACGATAACCGTTGTTTTTTGTATGGTGTTTGACAGATTTTTGACGTTTGTCAAAGTTAAACTAAGATGGTGCAACCCAGCCTTAGAGAAAGATTCACAAATACCTGCAGATTGCATAAGTTATAAATCCCAAATCTTAGCATAAAAAAAATACAATCATATTGTCAGACAATTCGTAAAATTGAGTTTTGCGTACAAAATTGTTGTTCATTTTGAAATGTATGTGTTCATAAAATTCTAAAGATTATAACAGATCTTATTGTACCTTCAGTTGTACAGTGATAGATGACTCAATTATTATTTTACGCTATTCTTACTTTACTTTTAATTTACAGCTTGTAACATTGATATAGCACGAGTACAAATTACAGATTAATTAAGCTATGGTTGTCCTAGCATCAAATGTTATAATGACGCTGCTAATTAGTACATTTTGATTAG